TGAACTAGCACAAACAATCAACAAGTGGGATCTTTTCTTACTAAAAAGCTTCTGCACAGCAAGAGAAACCACCAACAGTGTGAAGAGACAACCCACAATATTGGAAAAAATTTTCACTGCTTTTCCTCAGTCAAAGGTCTACTATCTTGAATCTATAAAGAACTTTAAAAAATCAGACCTTCCAAATTTAAAGACCCAATCTGAAAATGGACATCTGAAATGAACAGACATTTCTCAGACAAAGAAGTAGAAATAGCAAATGAATACATAAAAACATGTTCAACATCACTGGTCATTTGAGAGATGCAAATGAAAACAAGGCTGAGATTCCACCTCACCCCAGAAAGAATGGCTGCTATCATGAAATGAACCAATAACAAATGCTGGCTTGGCTGTGGGGGAAAGAGGAACCCTGCTCCACTGCTGGTGGAGTGTTGACTGGTGCAACCACTGTGGAAATCAGTATGGACATACCTAAAAGAACTAGGATTGGAAGTCCCATTTGACCCAACTATTCCCCTGCTGGTATCTTCCCCAAAGAATTAAAAGAATCATACCACAGTGATATATGTGCATCCATGTTCATAGCACTATAATTTGTAATAGCTAAAACTTGGAAACAGCCCAAATGCCCATTAACTGGAGACTGGATAAAGAAAATGTGTTTGTCTTTTTTTATAAAAATGGAGTAGTACTCAGCCATAAAAAATGAGAAATTAGAGACATTTATTGCTAAAAGGATGCACATTGAGGTGATATTCTTAAGTGAAATAAGTAGGACACACGTGTAAATACTGAATACTTTCTCTAGTGTGAGAAACTGAAAGTGTAAATAAGGACGAAAAGGTATAATAATGTGAAATAGGAAGAAAAGGGGCAAAGGGGAAGTGGGAGGGGTAGGGAAAGGAAAGAAGGAAATGGAATTAATATGAGAAAATGAAAAAATGGAACAAAGTCTTTGTAAATAGGGAGGGATGGAGGGGTTGAAGGGAGGGCAGGGGAAGGAGGAAAAAAATAAGAACCAAGAGACATTATGCAAAGATGCACATTTCCAATGATGAATGTCATTATATTGTATACCTAAAATGTACCAATAAAAGGATATACAGTTTAAAAAAAGAAAAGTCATAACTCAAAACACGAGCCAGAGAGAGCTGATGGAGCCAGGGTCAGACTTCTTTATAACAATCCTCTCCCATGAGCTACTAAGAGGTTGCACAAGATCTAGTTTAATTCGTTTCAAGGACTTATCCCCATCTGACCAAAGGACCCCCACTAGGTCTCACCTCTTAAAAGTTCTACTTCTAGGCCGGAGATTTAGCTCAGTGGTTCCACCACCTGCCTCACAAGCGAAAGGACCTGAGTTTGATCCCCGGTACCAAAAAAACCAAAGATCTACTTCCCAATATCATCATGCTGAAGACCCAGCCTCCAACACATGGACCTTTAAGAGGAAAAACAGCAGCCAATCCATTGTACACATCCTGGGGAAGTTGGAAAGTGTACACATGACATGCAGGTCCCATCACACAGAGTGGCCTTGTTGCCCTCTGAGTTCTTCATATTCATCCTTCCTTTCACCTTGACATCTGGCAATTACTGACCTTTTGATTGGTTCCATAGTTTGTCTTTTCCAGAATGCCATGTAAGTGGAGTCATACAGTATGTGGCCTTTTCACATTGGCTTCTTTCACTCACTAATATGTGTTTCAGTTTCCTCTATGGCTTTCCATGGCCTGACAACTCATTCCTTCTCAGTGCTGAGTAAAATTTCATTGATGTTCCACAGTTTATCTATTCATCTACGGAAGGACATCTTGGCTGCTTCCAAGTTTTAGCAATTATCAATTAGGCTATTATTAGCCTCCATGTGCATGTTCTTATGTGAACATAAGTTTTCATCTCTTTTTGGCAAATCTCAAAGGATGCAACAGCTAAATCTTAGGGAAAGAGTATGTTTAGCTTTGTGGAAAACTGCCAAAGTGTTCCTGTACCATTGCACATTCCCACTATTAGTGCTGAGAGTTCCTGTTACTCTACTGCCTCAGTAGCACGTGATGCTGTTGGTGTTTTAAATTTGAGCCATTCTCATTGTTTATATTAACCATTTTTAAAATCTTAACAATCCAGATAAGAAACTATGGGATTTGAGAGTTGAACAAAAGATTATGGCTCTGGTCTATGTCCCTCTCCTTTCTCCCTCTACTATCCAAAACATATTTCATGGATTAAAAAAAATACAGGTGGAAATAAACGACCAGTAGCAGGACAGAAGCCAGAGCTCCTAATTGGTGTCCAATTCTTATTCCAAACATTTGGAAATTAAACTGGTGATCAGACATTGAGGGGGGGGGTGATTACTTTCTCTCCAGGGGCCTTAGTACATTTTCTACATTAACAGTGAACTAAGATGTTCCCCAGTGAAGGCCAAGGAACTGTCCTCCTACAGAATCCAGGACTTAGGATATAGGACTTGTGATTTTAGCTGCATTCCAGGAATTTATATCAAAAGTATCAGATATTTTCTTTAGTAGTAGTGAGGATAAAATCCAGGACCTTCACCCTGATATCCCAATCCCATTTTATTTCTTTCATTAAAAACAGGATGTCACTAAACTGCTAAGTAGCCCAGGCTGGGCTTGAACTTTCAATCCTCCTGTCTCAGCCTCCTGCAATGCAGGAATTATGGTGTGCACCACTAGGTCTGGCTGATACTTTCATGTTTTAGTCATCATCAGTCTAATTGGTTCTTACTTATGGAAGGATTGCTTTTTTCTGAGGAAATTATTCTTCACTCTTAGAGGAGTTTCTGACACTGTGGGTTGCCCAAGGCTTTCATGAGTTTACCAGACATCTTCACCATTCCTTGATATTGACAACAGGAAGAATTTGCAGTAGAGAGTGTAAGAGTGAAAATAATCTTGAAAAATGATATTTTTAATCTCTTAAAAGTGGAAACTTGGAAGTTTTGCCTTACAGAACAAGATCATCCTGGAACTGCCATTCCTCACTAGTACATAAATTATACACATCTATTCAAGCATGAATCACACCCAGTAAAATGAAAGGGTCCACGGCTTTGTGGTTTCTATCCTCTGTCTACCATTCCGTACCTTCTGGTTTAACAGGCCTTATGGAGGTGGACAGTCCACAGTGTAGCCAACTAGGAGATGCAGATTGGACAAGACTTGCGTGTACCACACTCATGAGCACTTTGCTCTCCAGGGCCACTGCAATGGGAACCTGCTGTTGCCCATCCCAGGAACACCTTTGCCTTCTTAGCCCTCCTAACTCTTATTTGTCCTCTCAGCTCAGCTTGTGTCCCCTTGGAAATCTGTATGTACTAGATCCCCCATGGAACGACACAGAAGTATAAATAAAGTTACTAAGACAGCCAACTGGTTCTTTGTCATCATTTTTGCAATGTCTCTCCTCTACTCCACCCCCAGTACGGGGGATTCAGTCCATGGGTTCATGCTTGCTAGGCAAGTGCTTGGAGCTGCATCTCCAGTGCTTTAATTTTTTTTTTTAATTTTAAGACAGGGCCTCTCCAAATTGCCTAGGCTAACCTCAAACTTGATTCCCCACCCCTTCTTCCTGAGGAGCTGGGATTATAGCAGGAGCCATCATCTTTAGACCCTAGCTCAGGCCCTGGCACACAAAAGTCTCTCAAAAGTTTGGAAGGTAGCACAGTGTATTCATTTAAAAGCAAAAGCTCACAGGCTGGGGATTTAGCTCAGTGGTTCCACCGCCTGCCTCGCAAGTGCAAGGTCCCAAGTTTGATCTCTGGTACCAAAAAATAAATAATTTAAATAAATAAATAAAAGCATAAGCTCAGAATCAGATGAATTTCCATATTCATATTCTAAATAGGTTAACTGACCTTATCCTGTTCATTAATCTGAGGTTCTATTTCCTCATGTATTAAATAAGAATAAAAGATCAGACTGAGAAGTAGGTAAGAAGCAGCAAACAAAAACTTTATGGAAAGGGCATAGTGCCTAATGCACAGCTGGTGCTAATGAACAGTGTGGCTTTTCCTTATGGGTATAAGTGGAATGAGAATGGAAGAGGCAGACGTTCCCCAGGCTGTCATCACCCCTTTATATGCAGGAGGCAGGGAATGGGGGGTCTCTTACCAGCTTTAGCATAGAGGCATGCATCCATATCTGGTGCACACACTATGGGAACAGTGCAGTTTTGATTGTGGGAAGCACACTCATAGCAAGTCAGGCTGAAACCTAGAATTAAGAAGAAAGTGTGTTAAAGCAGCACTAATTGACCTCCTGACAGAAGAATACAGCTTTCTGCCTATAGTTCCACCCTGCCGGCTGCCGCTGCCTGAAGCTCAGCCCTGCCTATGAAGGACACAGTAACTATACAGACCAGCTGAGTGTGGACACCTGTAATATCAGCCCTCTGGTGGCAGAGGCAGGAGGACTGCCATGAGTTGAAGACCAGCATGAGCTACAAAATCAATTCAAGACAAGCCTGAACTACATAGAGGCCCTGTCTCAAAAAACTAAACCGCACCAAATCAAAAGCAAAAACTACCTGGACCCGGAAGTTCTGATTACTTAAAAGGAAACAAAATAGTCATCAATGTCCTTTACTCTGGCAAAGCAACAATACCTAAGGCAGAAATTTGGGAAAAACTACCTAGAATGTTCAAGACCGTACCAGATGTCATCTTTTCATTTGGATTCAGAATCCATTTTGGTAGTAGCAAGACAAGTGGCTTTGGCATGGTTTATGATTCCTTAGATTACGCAAAGAAAAATGAACCCAAACCTAGACTTGCCAGACATGGTCTCGCTGAAAAGAAAAAGACTGCAGAGACATTAGTGAGGGGAGCGCAAGAACAGAAGAAAGTCAGAGGCACTGCAGAGGCAATATTGATTCTGCAAAAGGTGAGAGTAAAGATCCTGTGGTGATTTTATCTGTGCATTGTGTGGATTTTTCACAGGAAGATTAAAAACCTATAAAAATGTTTTCAATTGGAGGCAGGCCAGAGATTCATGTTGAGCTTCCACCCCCTCCCAGATGCACAGTACTTATACATTTCCAAGCTCCACCCACAGTTCCAGTAATGTCTTTGGGGCCCTGGAGCAAGTGCAATGGGAATATCCCCATTCCCAAATCCATCCAACCACAGCTGAGAAGCTTTTCCCATCCTTCACCTGGCAGATGACTTGTGTGCAATGAAATGACTTATGAAGCAGAAAACATTGAGAGCAGAGTCCCGCAAGTGTCTTCCAGGCAAAAATAAGCTCAGTGAGATCACACTCCAATGGATAATTCCCTATTTGTGTGAAAGGACCTTTTCAAAGATAAGATATGTAAAATCATTTTACCAATTAATATTCACAGATAAACATTTGCAACCACTTGGTGATAGGAACATTAATTTTTAACCCAAATGAAGCAAAATGTTATCCTCCCGAGAAAAAAGGTATTACCCCCATTAGCAAATGTATATTATATATTTATAGTTAATTATTACATTGTGAACTTTGACAGTCAGAATTTGGTGGAAGCCAGGTGATGTGGTGCACATCTGTAATTCTAGCTACTTGGGATTCTGAGGAAGGAGGATCTCAGATTACAGGGTAGCCTGGGAGACTTAGTGACTTCAAGATACTTAGTGTTTCAAGAGTTTCTTGAGAGAGAGAGACTGTTTCTTGTTTCAAGAGACTTAGTGTTTCAAGATAACAAAAATGAAAAGGGCTGGGGCTGGGGCGAAAGCTCAGTGGTACAGTGCTTGCCTAGCAGGGCCCTGGGTCAAATTCCTAGTACCGCAAGAGAAAAAAAAAAGAGGAAATTTGTTTCTCTCTTGTTATTTACATAAGAACTTACATAATATCCTTGACTTTGTCTCCTGGCCTGCAAAGCCTAAAATACTCACTGTCTAGCCCTTTATTTGAAAAGTTTAATGACCTCTGGGATACGGAGTCCTCACCAAACTTTTCCCTGCTAAGAGACTGACCCAGGGCCGGCAGTGTACACAGTCGAGGGCAAGAAAGCAGCTGAGCTCTAAGCCCTTGTGGGTGGGACAGCTCAGTCACAGCAGAGTCACTGGACACGAGGAACAGTTTACACCAGAGGCAAACTGCCCTCAGTTGTCTCATTTGAGAACCAACTAGTGCTCCCACTCATGTTCCTAAGATTCATATTTCCTAGCTAAACTTCAGGTTTTCCTAGATTCTTTTTCCTTTTTTTTTTTCTTTTTGTGATACTGGGGACTGAACCCAGGGCCTTTGAACTGAGCTATATCCCCAGCACTTAGTAACCCTTGTTTAATGTTCTAAGACAGGGTTTGCTAAGTTGCTAAGTTGCACAGGTGAGGATTGAACTTGCAACTTCCTGAGTCACCTTCCAGGAGTACTGGGATCACAGGTGGCCACCACCACACCCAGTTTCCTTCACCATTTTTTACAAGGATGATAACAAGAAAAAGATGAGTCATGGTCAACATTTGTGATGTGAACAGGCAGAGGTGCCAAGATTCAGAAGAAAATCTTCCTGATTCATGTGGCCATGCCTTTCTCAGAGAGAAATGACCTTCCCAACACATGGCTTCCACCATGATGGAATATCTGGCAGCACCTGCAGGTACAAAGACATTTCAAAGAAGCAGCATGTAGAATCTCATAGAAGAATGTCATGGTTAAACCAAGTGTGGGTTTTAGACTTCAAGAGCTGACTTCTAGCTGTGAGGCTGAAGCCTCAGTTTATCACCAGGGGATATGGAGATGTTTCCAGAGGTCCAGGGCAGAGCCGGTCCTCACTACCTGAGCACAGTCAGGAGCCAGGCTCTGTATAGGCTTAATGGCCAAACTTGGCTTTCCAGGTGTGAAATCCCAATCACACCGGACCTCTTGATTTGGGAAGCTTCCAGGTTAACCCCTTGAAATATCACTCAAAAAACCTCTTTTCTCCCCCAAGAAGACAGGTGTCTCGAGAGGGGAAATGACTTACCCAAGGCCACCAGCTACAAAGTGACAGCTCCGGAGCCTGTGGGCAGGGCTCTGTCACACTGCTCCGCTTGTTCTCCCCCAGTGTCACCGTTTGTCACACCTGGGCAAGAGGGGACCCACAGGGAAGATGCATGAAGATGCCAGTTCTCTTCAGTCCCTTCCTTGTGCCGGATGTGTGTCACAGGCAGGAGAAGAAAAGAACGGAAGAGGGAGGGTGTCGGGCAAGCCTGGGTATTTGAGGGCTACCTTCAAAAGATCACCCATAGAAGGGACTTTACTAGGCAAAGCCAGAGCTCACTTGGCCTCTTGACCATCTCTGGAGGGATCAAGGGCCTTGTCTGAAACTTCTTTGGGGCAGAAATACTGAGGGCTAGCACATTCATCTAATGCTCAAACATCTAAGCACTCTATGCTAAGCTCTTCATAGAACTGTTAGAAGAGACAGGCTCAAGTAGCTTCATCCCCAGTTTGCAAGAGAAAACTAAGACTAAGATATTAACGAGCTTGTCCAAAGTCACACAGCTACCAAATGACGGCATGAGACTGGAACCCAGGCCATCAGTTCTAAAGCCCAAGCTGGAATAAATGTGCAATATCACTGGTCATTCAAGAAATCTAAACTGAAACAATGCTGAGATTCCACCTCACTCCAGAAAGAATGGCTATCATCAAGAAATCAATCAACAACAAATGCTGGGGAGGTTGTGGGGGAAATGAAAGCCTTCTCCATTGCTGCTGGGAGTGTAAACTGGTACAACCACTACGGAAATCAGGATAGAGGTTCCTCCAGAAACTAAAACGAGAGGTTCCATTTGACCCTTCTATGCCTGTCTTAGGTATCTTTCTAAAACATTTAAAAATATCATACCACAGTGATATATGCATAGCTATGTTTATAGCTCCACAATTGATATAAAATGCATGCACCTCGAGACCACACTTTTAAGTAAATCAAACACACATATTTAAATATCGCAGTTTCTCTTGTGTGAGAAACCCAAAGGGTGAACAAGGAGCATAATGGAGGACAGATGTTGGGAAGTAGGAGGAGCTTGTTCAAATGGGAAGGGGAGCAAGGGAGGGGGAGAGAAGGGAAAGGGGACTTTAAAAAATGAAAATGGAAGGGAAAAATGGAAACAAAGCTTTTGTAAATGGGAAGGGGGAAGAGTTGAAGGGAGGGCAGGGGAATGGGGAAAAGAGAAGAATTCAGATGTGTTATGCACAGGTACAAATTCCCCAGGGTGAATGTGATCATTCTGTATGCAAAATATGTACTAATAAACATACATAAAACTCAAGCTGGGATTAACCAGGCATTCCTCTAACTCTCCTGAGTAGAAGAGAAGGAAACAGGACAGATTTGGGACCAAGGGCACCGAGGTTCAAGACAAGCAATGAGTCAGTGCATGGTTCTGATAGTTTAGCTACTTAGCCAGGGTGGCAGGGAATGGACCCTCTGGAAAACCAGTTTCTGGGCTGTTCTTCCCCCTGCTTCCCACTGGAAGTCATCCTGCATCTCCACCTCTGCAATGTTGGGAACTCGTCATGCTATTTGATTTGCATCACTGTGAGGATCCAGTGTCATTTTCTGCCAATGGGATGTTTCTGCCTACAACATGTTGGCCTGAAGGTTCCCCAGAGGGCTCCTCAGTGTTTTGGACAGCAACAAAGGCAGTCTCTCATGTGTGTGCGCGCGCGCGCGTGTGTGTGTGTGTGTGTGTGTGTGTGTGTGTTGTGTGAGCAGGTCCATATGTGTGTTGTGAGCTTCAGAGCCCACTTCTCTGAGCGGGGGCTTAAGGGTGCCCCAGACCTGCACCTGATGGCCCCAAACCCCAGCTTGCCCCACAGACAGATGCAGACTGCTGGAGGTGGGCTGTGGCTGCCGCCATGAGAACAAGAAACACCCTGGGGGGAAGAACTGAGAGAGGAGTGGGGTGTGGAGACCAGGCTGGATAACATCACCGCCCACACCTGCTCGGGTTCCCCGTGGACAAGGGAGCAGGGGTGAGGAGGAAGTCGTGACTTCTCTTTTTTGCCAGACAGAGAGAGGATGCAAGTGTGTCCTTGAGCACCTGGACACAATGCACTAATCCTTCATGGGATGGCCAGAGGCTTAAATGAGATAGACTTTGGCAGAGTTCTGACTACATGACAGTAGTGGTATATGGGAGCTACTGAAACACAACACTGGAGGTGCCTTTATTGTTTTTATTTTTTGGTACCGGGGATCGAACTCAGGACCTTGCGCTTTCGAGGCAGGCGGCAGAACCACTGAGCTAAATCCCCGGCCCTTATTTTTCTTTTTTATTGCTCAACTTGTATTGCTACTTCTTTTTCTTCCTCCATCTCAAAAAGAAAGAAAAACTGTATAATGGTACCAACATGACACAGGCAGAAAATGACGTTTGATCCTTATAAAGGTAGCAAGTAGTAGAGCAAGTAGCATAACTGTTCCTATTTTAATTAAAGATGCATGATCCTAGGATTTAGCTCAGTGGCACCACATCTGCCTTGCAAGCACAAGGTCCTGCATTTGATCCCCAGTACCACAAAAAAAAAAACCCCAAGAAACTGAGGATGAATTAACTAAAGATTCATGACATCATCTCCAGGAAGCATGGAAGGGTGGCAGGAAAGGGCTGGGCCAGGAAAGGGATGGCACTGGGAGGGGTGGCCTGGAGTAGGAGTAAGAAAGGCAGGAACTCTGGGGCCACGCAGGGTTCACAGTCTGGCATAGGCTCCCTTCTGGGTATTATCTCAGAAGTTATTTTATTGCTTTGGGCCTCGAACTTGTTATTTGCAAAAGAGGAATAAAAAGAGTATTCCATTGGGTTGGCATGATGAATAAGTAAATGCATGTAAAAAGCTCAGACTGCTGATTGCCATGGAAGTGCTATAAGCTTTAGCTGAGACGGCGACAGCTATTACTATGATCCCCACCACTGTGGCCCAGAAGCCACTCAGAAGAAGGACTGAGCTCTGAAGTCCCCAAAGTGACCTGGGCGGCATTCTAAGAGTGGCATCTGCCAAAATGCCTAAATATCTTGTAGCAACAGTGGTGAAACCAAAGCTTCCCTGTCACCCTAGCCCTGCAAAAAGCAGCCCTGAAAATGGGGACAGCTGTAACTCAGGAAGGCACCTGCTGAGAGCCAGGCCATAAAAGGAAGTTGTCACACAATCCTGGAGGACCAGCAGTACTAGAAGCAAAAGAACCAAAGCCAGGTCTGGAGCAAGGACTGGGGCAGAAACTGGGGCCACTGGCTGTAGCAGACTGTGGCAGTGGGTGTCCAGTGCTAGTGGGCTATGAGTGGCACATGGTTCTTGCCTCCCTTAATTCAGCTATATTGTTCTATATCAGGAGTCAGAGCAAACCCTTATGTGACTCAAATGGGCATGTCTGGTAGTAGAGCTGGGCTAGTATTGCTCCTTTGCTAATGGCTGTTACTGAGGCCTGGGTCCTGGTCTGTGAAGCAAGGCTCTGCTGAGTTTTAAGCAGCTGAGGTGAGTGTGTCCCCAATTAAAATCCTTTCACCTGAATTATGGCTTCTCACTGACCCGATGGGTTGTGTGCTAGTTGCACCCAGTCCCCATACTGGTTTGTTCTATCCAAGCAAGATAAGCTGTGCCGACTCCCTAACAGCCCTGCCTGGTGCCATCATGCCAGGTGTTCAGTATATTTCCCTAGATGACTTCAAAGCATAACCTGCTCCCTATTCCTTCCCGTGACTGTATTCAATATATGGTGGATGTGCTTGGGGGCCTTTGTCTTTGCTGCCATCAGCAGGGTCCCAAGACCCAGCTTCGTCATTCTGAGTCTCATTTCCTGTCTATTCTTTAATTTGCCTTATGCTGTGGTGGCTCAAAGGAGGCCAGAACCCATGTAGAGATTCTGGCAACATCCCCTTACCCATTCCCTATAAGTGGCATCAGCTTTTGACAGGTGGCAAAGAAAAGCAAGTTCATGGCCAGGCAGCCTGGATGGTTCTGGTCTCTGGGCCACTCACCTGTGCAACACAGCGCAGCCAGGACGAGCAGGAGCCTGAGCAGGGTGACACCTCCCTGACTTCTCATTGTGATATCCACAGAGTCTGGAAGGAAGGGACAAGACCTGCTGTCATGATCAAAAAATGACTGCTGGTTATCTCAGAAATCAAGACCTGGAGGCCCAAGGGGACCCTAAGAAACACAAGGAAGGAGCAAACAGCCCAATCAATAGCCAAGGCGCACTGTCAGTGCTGGATGACAGCGCTGGACCCTCCTCCTCCTGAGACCTTGGCTTCCTGAAGAAACACTGCCCGACCCTGTGAGAGGGGCAGCTGCTGGGGAGCCAAAGCTCCTCAGGTTCACAGGAATACCTGTTCCACCTACAGTAGCCTCAAACCAAGATCAGCTCAGTCCCCACAAGCCCAGTGTTCATGGCCCTGCAGTGGAAATAACACCATCTCCCCAAAGGTTGTTGAGTCCAATAAAATGTATGTGAGAAAACAACCTATGTGGTAACCTCAGCCCCCACCCTGCCGGCCCAGGCCATGCTTCTGGCTGAGCTGGAGGGTCACTTCTGCAGACGGGGTCACATCTGCAGGCCAGGTCACTGCGGGAATTGAACCAAATGCTGCCTCTGAGGGGATCAGCAAGCTTTCAGCACCAGAACAGGAAGCTGAGGCGTGACAGGTGGACAAGTTCTGGCTCCTCAACCCAGACGTGACAAGGACACATTCAGGGGAAGGAAGGAGAGGTACTGGCAATCTGAGGAGTGGTCCTCATTACACAAGGAACTAGATGTGTAACAATAGGCTGCAGGTAAGAAAAGGAGGCTGAAATGCCTTGAACCTTCCTTTCACTCAATAAACAGGTCGAGGCACAGGCAGGTTTTGGATCCCCCCCAGGTTCAAAGATTTGGTAGCAGTTCTAGGAAGTCCCTCAGCCAGGCACAGTGGTGCACACCTGTAATCCCACCACCTGAGAGGCTGGGGAACGAGGATTGGCACAAGTTTGAACACACCCTAGGCTACACAGTGAGTTAAAAACAAGCTTAAACTGCCAGCAAGACCTAGTCTGAAGAAAAAAAAATCTCCCAACCTTGAAAGTCAGGCTGCTCCACATGCTACTTCCAGAGCCACACAGGGTAAGACTCAGGGCTTGTGGACAGATGGTCCTCATCTGCCATCCACTGGGTCCGGAATGCAGAAGTCCCTAAGGCTATCAGGGCATTACCTCTCACACTTTTGCAGGTCATTTGCCCCACAGGAACTGACAATTCAGGCCATCCAGGCCTTTGGAATTTTCCAGAGGAAAAAACATGGAGTCCTGCTAGGGAAAGGTATCAAGGAGAAACAGGGCCTGGCTTTTCCTTACAAGTGACACTCACCACTTCACTCAGCACACTGCCAGCTTCCCACTGGGTTCCCCATGTTATGGGTTCCTGGGTAGAGAAGATGATTTATACACTTGGGTTAGACAGGACTGGGGCCCACAAAAAACTGCTGCAAGGAAGGAAGGAGAAGAGGGTATTGATCTGAGGTTACACAGGAACCAGCAAGGCATGGAGCATCAGATAGTTTGTTTGTTTTTTTTTTTTTGGAAGGGGCTATTTTGAGACAGGGTCTTGCTGTTAGTTCACACTGGCCTTAAACTCACTATGTAGCTCAGGCTGGCCTTAAACTCAAAAGGATCCTTCTGCTTCAGCCTCCTGAATGCTAGGACTACAATCCTGTACCACCATGCCCAGCCTACTGGACACTTTTCTAAGAGTTAAGAACAGCTAGGGCCGGGGATTTAGCTCAGTGGTTCCGTCGCTTGCCTTGCAAGCGCAAGGACCCAAGTTCAATCCCTGGTACCAGAAAAAAAAACAAAGAACAGCTGCTGTGACAGGCATCCCCATGGCAAGAAGAGGCTGTTAGTCACTAGAGCTGCCTCCATGACAGGCTGCAGGAGGGCCAAGAGAGTGCAGAAAGGAAGTGACCAGTGTGGTTGTTCAGATCAACAGACTGGGCCTTTGTGAACCACTAGTAACACATGAGCTTCCAACAGCAACGTGTTGGGGGAGGGGTACAGAAAAAGGGACAGCTGATTGTTCTAGAGCCATTTTACAATTGCCCTGAGATGTTGACAGTATTAATGCTAAACAGATTTATAACTTTTTTTATTCCTAAGTCTTCAACTGTTGCCACCCTTCCTCCAAATATTCTATAATGAACCAAAAAAGAAAAAAAATGATGTCCACGCAGAGCATGGTGGTAGATGCCTGTAATCCCAGCAGTCTGGAAGGATGAGGGAATCCTAGAATTTACTCTCTCCTAGGCTCAGATCTGGGCTGGAAATAATATTTTTAGCCAAGTTGCCACATGTATGAAATGCTTCTGGCTTATCAGGATAGCATAATTAACAGCTGTAGAGGCAAGGGGAAAATGTTGAAGGAACCAGGGCTGTTCTATTTGATAAGGTGTCCCAAAGACAGTTACTGTTTTCAAATAAGGGAAGGGCAGCTGAGCAAGGGAGCCAGAGGTTATGTAATTTCAAAAGGCAGAATGAAGATCAATAAGGGAGGGATTGGGGATTTCCTAAATGAGTGAGGGCGAATCTTTTAACGCTTTCAATGATACAAATAGCCCCGCTATGCCACAGGAGCCATGGGTTCGCCACTGCTGCCCTAAACCAATGACTATTTTCCAACCCTTATCTGCCCTGCCACATCCTGGATGCAGTGCAAAAGGGAAAACAAGACCCCGATGATGTGTAAAAAGCTCCCATCAGCTGGCAATGTTCAAACAGATAGCAGAGGTCACAGATCAGAGGTACTACAGAAAACAGCAAGAGGAAAGAGCAAAAGACTGGTGAAGTACTAAAGATTCTCATTTTATAGTGAAACCAACCTGACAAGTATTTATTCATGCCCAGCCACCTGGGATGCAAGGAGAAGCTAAAAACCAGCAAGGTGATTTACCAACTTATGACATCTCTTATCAAATTGCTAAAAACGTTCTGGGAAGCAAATGTTTTGATACCTGGGTAGAAATCATAGTGTGAACCAATATTCCACTGTTTTAAATAGGAAAACAAAAACATGGTATCATCCATCCAAAAACTCCAAGTCTCCCAAATATAAAGAAATATACGGGCCAGGGGTTTACCTCAGTGGTTCTGGTGCCTGCCTCACAAGCACAAGGTCCCGAGTTCAATCCCTGGTACCAAAAAAAAAAAAAAAAGAAAGAAATATATATATTACATACTATATGTATATACAATCCAGAGAAACTTGAGCAGAAAGCATTTAACATATGAAACAATTATTTAATGACAAAGTGTGTAGGAATTCCCTGGTGGGTGGATTTAATCCTAAGAAGGTTAACTGTCCACTCCACTGCCACCATCCCTCAGATAGCAACTTCTAAGCAGATACCAACCATGAGCAGGTGTGTGCCAGGCAACAGGCTACACTGACTGCTGAACAGGAAAGGATCTTAGAGCTACTGGGGTGGACACCAACTAGTGCCAAAGAGAGGGGAAAAAGGGGGAATTGCAACAATGCTTTTCCATTTCACTGGGCACCTGAGTCACCTGGAGGCTGTGGAACACATCACCCAACCCTATCCTCCTGAGGCTGGAATTCCCAGGTCTAATGCAGGCCCCAGAAAGTGCACTTCAGCCAGTTCCCAGGTCCTAGCCCTGCTGCTGACCAGGGACCACACCGGGAACAACTGGCTTACACTGACTCAGCACAAGGGCCAGGCATGGAGTTGAAAGGGTCTCCCCAGCTGGGCTGTCAAAGGACCAGCTAGTGCTGATGAAATAATGAGTTTCTTCTGCCCTTCAGGGCTCCTGTGATTACACTGCTAAATGGACTAGCTTATAAATGCAAGACATTAGGCAAGTCCTTGTTGCCAAGTTAACTTCTATTTAGTGAGCAAATATTATGAGTCAACTGCTATGGTAGGTGATCTTGACATATTAAGGTACAAGCTAATCCTCACAATACTAGATAGGAAATGTAATCTCTGCCTCCAAATATAAGAAGCAAGAGGTAGAGGGATCTAGCTAGTTGGCCCTTACTCCCAGTGATGTCCACATCCTAACTTCAGGAACCTCGGAATATAGTCGTCCTCATGTGGCAAGCAACCTCCACACGGGATTGTGGTTTGAGAGATTATCCTGAATATCCAAAAGACCCAGCATGATCACCAGCTTGTTCACAGGGGGACAGGAAAGCAGTAGAATCTGCCAGAAAGATGTGACATCAGAAAAAGGGGCAAAATCTGAAGAGTGAGATGAACTCAACTCACTATTGGTGACTTCAAAGACAAGAAGGATCCTGTGAGCCAAGGCACACAGGTGGGCTCTAGAAGCTAAGAGTAGTCCTCACCCAACACCCTCAAAGAAAACTCGATCTGTCTCCCAGTCACAGGACTGCATTCTGCCAATAACCTGGATGAGCAAGGACATGGACATACCCTGTCGCGGAGACCTCAGCCTGCCACCTGGATTGTTCACCCAGTGCCACCGTGTCAGACCCCAGATGGATGACAGAGCAGTAAATTTGTGTTGTTTTAAGCTGCTAAACTTGTGATTGGTTTCTGGAGCAATGAAAAACATAAGCTGGGCCTGGTGGCCTGGGCCTTTGGTCCCAGTAACTTTGGAGTCTGAGGCAGGAGGATCATTTGAACTTAGGAATCCAGACCCACCAGGACAACACAGCAAGACCCCAACTCAAAACAAGAAAAAGCTAACATAGGAACCTCATTATTAGGAAGTGGTTAAACAGGATTTAAACTCAGGTCTCAGGTCTGAACCATGAACTCCCCAGTAGGGAAACTTCTTGTGAATTAAGCTTCCAAAATACATTCACCTGAGGAGGCCAAGAAAGAAGTGAATTCTCTGTCTCTGTCTCTGTCTCTCTTCTCTTCTCCCTCTCCCCGTCTCTCTCTCTCTGTCTCTCTCTCTCTCTCTCTCTCTCTCAATGGAACCTAGGGAGGGGAATATACAGCACTAACCACTAACACTGCCATTCTGAGAAGAGATTTTAAGACCAACAGTTACATAGGATTCACCATAAATACAATCGCTGCTCCAATGACCTGGGGCTCATGAACTTCAACTCTAGATATAGCCTCACAAATTAAACCCACTGTTCTCATTTCATAGGAAATGAATGGAGGCCCAAGGGATGAAATTACCTGTTCCAAGGTGAAAGGATTGTTGTAAAAAGGTCTATGTTACTTCTATCTATCAGGGGCTGGTAATTCCCAAGTGGTGTAATGTAGCCCCTTGGCAGCAATGTCAGGGACCTGGAGTTTGTGTCCTTCTGACCCTGAACATGGTGTAGCCAATCCTGTCCAGGAACCCACATATCAGTCACTCACTCAAAGCAGTAATTACTGACCCAAGGAGAGAGACAAAGAGCAAATTACCATCACAACGGAAGAGCCCCTCCCAATCCCCCAGAGTTCTGCTGCTACAGACAACCACCCCAGAAACTTTGAGAGCTCAGATATCTGCCCTTTGCCTACAAGGGCTTCTCTGTGATCTGTTCCTGGACCTCAAACCCGGGCCTTTCTTACTGGACTTTTATCTTCTGAACCACTAGGCCTCCTTTGAAGTTTCCTTTCCAAACCACTAAGCATAATGGGGTGTTTTCCTTAGAGCAGTTTCCATTTTCTACTGAGAACCTATGTCCCAAGTTACTGGTATGTTCAGCTTGTCACAGAAAACTCCCTCTTTTTCTTCCAATGATAAATTACCCAAGCACAGTAAACAACCACCTCCCAACACTGACATTCTGAGGTCTGTGTGCCTCCTAGGAACTGTGAGTAAATTACCTATAATGAAGAACTATAACAGAGGGAGGACAGGGAGGCCTGAAAAATCACCTGTTGTTCCTGGTACCAGGTTCCAGGCTGTGCCATTCCCTGGATGACAGATCTGTAGTCCTTACCACCACCCGAGGAAGTAAGGCCTAGCATTTCACTGATGAGAAAATGAGGTTAAACAGCTTGCTGCAATTACCAACAGGGGCACCTGTGCCCCACGAAATGACAATAAAAAGCACTATCTAAAGATTGAAATCAATTGGCCCTGACTCTAAGGAGAGTGTGGCCCAATCCCATGCAGGAGAACAAAGATGTCTGCTAGTACAATTCCACAAATGGATCTTGGGGAAAGGAAGGTTGAGACCACACGGAGGATGGCCTTAACTCCTTCCCTTCTAATGTGATTTCTTTCTTTGAACTGCAGGAGCTGCAGGTGAGTTTAGATGGTCAGGGGTAAGAGAAGAGGCCTGAGTTCTCAGGATGCTGGCGTTTTAAGGAGAGGCCCGTTCCCTGCCCCCTTAGTGGTAAACACCGCCCACCCCCACCCCGTCGTCGTCCCTGCGCGCTGGGAGCCTGGGGCTTGGCTGACCAGGAACCCCTTGCCCCATCGCAGACACCCGGCTAGGTTTCCCAGCGAGGATGGGGAGAAGCTAGGCGTTCCCTGGGAGACACTGCAGACCCGTATTCCCCAGCCCGCCATACCTGCGCCGGCCGCGGCGCCTGCGCCTTCAGCCCCAGCCCACCCCCCACTCCAGCTCTGTTTCCGGAGGGCCTTGGACCTCACCTGGGAGCGCCTGGTTCTGCTCCAGTCCGACCTGCTTCTGCTTAGGCCTGGCGCTCTCCGGTCCCCTTCACCAGACTGGAGCCCGCAGGTCTCGGCCACGCCCAGGGTCAACCCCTCGCCTCCCTGCGGTAGAGGCCAGCGCCCATTCCTGGGCGGAGACTCTGGCTCCAAGTAACTTCCAGCCACAACTCTGGTAGTGTCTTGAAGCAAGTTGTTTTGCATTTACAAGCTGTTCTGAGCTTGAGATAGGGCACAAGTGGAGGCAGAAAAGCAAAGCTTTGAAGCCCTTTTTCTCCCTCTCTTTATTTCTTCCTTCTTCCCTCTCTTTTCTCTCCTTTCTTTCCTTCCCTCTCTCTTTTCCTCTCCTTGCCTCTGCTCCTCAATTTGTTGTTCTCAGGATTGGACTGAGAATTGTTACTCTCTGTGCTCTCCCAGAGGCTGTAGCATATCCACTCTGCTTTACGCATCTTGGGGGTTTATACCTTTGCAGACAGTTTGCACATCTTTACCTCCAACCTGAGCTGGCTGCAGATGTTCTGCACATCTATCTCCATTCCAACCGCTTTTCCTACAATCTACCTGGAAACCAATTTTGATTTCTTCCCTTCCCTCAGGTCCACTCCAGTCGTACCTGCTTTACCTTTTAGATACCTCAATTTCGACTCCACTTCACTCTGCCCCATTGTTACTGCCGAATTCAGGCCTGTAGTTTGTCTGGGTCACTCCGGTTCCTTTGTACCAGGTCCCTGTGCTGCCTGTGTTAATTCCTGCATCCCTGGGCCATCTCCCCTTATCTTCCACATGACCTCTGGATTCCCTGAACTTGACTTTGCCCTTTTCTCATCGTACTTCCTTGAGTGCAGTGGCTGTAGCTGCCAGTTTGCAAGGGGAGACCTTTCAGAGGAAAGTCTAGTGCTAGGATGGCAATGGAAACACGTCTGGAACATTGATGACACCATTGTGCCATGGTGTCAGTCCTTGTTACCTCTGCCTTGTCACAAGAAAATAACCCCTTCTCTTAGTCACAGTCCTCAACGCTGCTGCTGGGACACAATACGTGACAGCCACGATTCAAAGGAGGAAAGGTTTCCTTTGTTTGATGGTTTGTAAAAGTTTCAGCCCACAGCTGGCTGGCCCCAAGACAGGACGATCATGGCAGAGACATCGGGCAAAGGAGATGCTCCAGGTATCACAGACAGGACACAGAGTGACATCAAGGGAGGAGGGAGGGAGATAGACCCTCCCCCTTCTGACCAGACTCTCCCTCCTAATGGCAAGTCAGCTGTAAGCCCCTACATGATCTAATCACTTTCCAAAAACCCTACCTTTGAGCACATGAGGCTTGTGGCGGGACATGTAAAGGTAAATCATAACACTCCTGAACTATTTAAACTAGCCAGGCGTTGTGCAGCATGCCTGTAATCCTAGCTCCTGGGAGGCTGAGGTAGGAGGATCATCCTGAGTTTGAGGCCAGCTGGGATACATAGTGAGTTCAAGGCCAGCCTCAACTACATAATAAGACCTGGTCTCAAAAAACCCCAGAACACTATTTAAGCCACCTTTAATTTACTTATCTGTCTTACCCTGAGCTTTAGATGAACAAGTAAAGCATGGGTAGTTCTCAAGAGGTCTGAGAACCAGAAATGGCCGTTTAGTCTGCTTTGAGCAATGTTAATGCTGTTAAAATTCCATTTCTGTATGAATAAGCATTTGTGCCATGAAATTAAACACAGAGGCTTATTAACCAACAAGACCTTGCTATGAACCAGTGATCATTCATTCAACATAACCATGACATTGAATTTTTTTTTCAGTACCGGAAATCAAACTCAGGACCTTGCACTTTCAAGGCAGGCTGTGGAACCAGTGAGCTAAATCCCTGGCCCAATACTATGAATTTTGATAGAACAAGCAGCGAGCATTCTAAGGATGCAAGGATCAGATAGAGATTCAGGGGTGATTTGGGGTACTTTAGAAACAGGAAGTCATCCAGAAAAAAGGATGCAAAGAATAACAAGGTCTCTGGTTTAGTTTAACTCTAAAGTTTAGTTTCTTAAATAACTGGGTGATACTGGGGTCTGAATGTGTGCTTCTCCCAAAGCGTTGTTGAAAAAGAGTGAATGTTTACATTAAAAGTTTTCAGTAAGACACATTGCTATTGATTTTCATCAAAAAACCTCCCCTGGCCCCCATTCCAAATACACCTGTCCCATCATTCTTGCTATTTTCTTAAGCAGTTATCAATGTCCTCTTTCCTAAGTGTCTTTATGAAGTGTGATCAGAAGTATAGGGAATACAGTGCCGAGTCACATACAGTAGAAAGACAGACTCATAAAAACATTAGTGTCCTCATGCAACTTACTCACTGGATCTGGCACTGTGCAACTTCAGGCTCCTCCCTCAAGTCAAAGTGACCATGAAATGGAAACATTTTGAATGAATTCGGGACATCAAGACGGATATGACAGGGCAACTAGATACTCATGAAAGAGTCCAAAACTGCTTCAGGAAGTGGCAAGAAATGTGTGTGTTTAATCTGAGAGGGGAGTTTCTGAGAGGGAGGAATGGCGATGTCACTTTTATCGTAATAAGTTTTACTTACATACACACTGTATTTCTCAATCACACCTTGAATGTTGAATCCAAATCCCAAAGCAAGAGTATGAGATGGACTTTTAGGCAGTTATCAGGTCCTGAGGAGTTGGCCCTCATGAATAGGATTAGTGCACTTAGAAGAGAGACCGCAGAGCTCATTTGCCCCTTCCACCATGTGAGGGCACAGCAAGAAGGCTCCATCTTAGGGAACAGTGTAGACACCAGACTCCGAATCTGCTGGTGCCTTGATCTTGGACTTTCCATTCTCCAGAACTGTGAGCGATTAATTTCTACTGTTTGGCTATTACACAGGCTACGGTGTTTTATTATGGCAGCCTAAATGGAGAAGCCAGTGACTCAGGGAAAAATAGGACATAATAGGATTTGGTAGCCTGATGAAGCAACCATGTCTGACTTAGTGGAGGGGAAACTTTCTGAGACATGCCATTAGGTGACTGCACTGTCAGGTGATCTCACCCCTGTGCAAACAGCAGTATATTTCTACAAACCTCTGTGGGATTAAGGATTTGCTTTGGCAATAATTTCCCTCCACTAATCTTCTCTCTTCCCAAAGTTCTTCAGTTGGCTTTATATCTGCACTCAGACTCAACGCTCAATTTCACATTGTTATGAATCATTCACGAATCCTATAAAGCCATAGTGAGCAGTAAATTCAACATCCTAGTCTCTTCCAGCCTTTTCTTCCAACAGTGCAAATAAACACTTTGCTTTAGTCATGATCTTCAGGATGCTGAAGATGTACTTCGGTGTCTGGTCTTCAATTCGGGTCACTAGAAGTTTCTCCATGTCTGAAATGAGTTTTTCTTGAATTTTTGCTGGTCTCACTGCATTCAACGAAGCAGATCCATTTCCTGCTTCTGTCACTTTATTCCTTAAGATTGTAGCTGTGGTGGAAATGACTGGTGTGCAGTACCCATCAGTGATCTGCCAGCTTCATGGTCCTTCACCACTTTCAATTTCATTTCCAGGTCAATCACTTGATGTAGCCTCTTAATGGCAATATTAGCACTGGATTTTGTATGTTTATGCGCCGTGATGGGTAAAATAATAGGAGACTAAATCAAGCACAAGAGAAAATGATGCATTCAAGACATGTGGTAATATGCAATGTACAAGGCTGCTGCTGGCCACTGTGGTATCCATGGTCTGTTGTTGGTTGCAACATCAGTCTGCAGTGCATGGCTGTACTGTGTTACATGAAAATAAACAAGAAAATGACTCTTTCAGAACATTCTGACATGCATCAGTAGGTAAGTGTGCCTTTATTTTCCCCCATGGCAGGCGCTTAACCTGAAGACCACTCCCTCTGCCTGCTGCTCTATGAAAGAACTGCTCTGGGTGAAACGGAAGGTGGCGCACAGCTGAGGCTACAGTCAAAGCCAGGACAGGATCATGGGTCATGGGTGGGCCCACTGTGCTCTGGCTTCTCAACAATGAGTACCAATCCCATTTACCATCTGAAGAACCAAAGCCTCTTAACATTTACTTAGGGCAAATAGCCGACTACACAAAACACAGGATTAGAACCCAAATTTGTTTTTAAAGTTTGTTTTTGACACTTGAAGGATTTCATTCCAAACTCTCAGTTACAGAATTACAAAATAAAAATCCATGTTTCTGGTAAAGATCCTTAAGCCTAACATAAGATTCATGTCACTTATCACAAAGTTAGACAGTCAAGTGTATAAAGGAGAAACAAAACAGAAGCAGTATTTACAAGTTTAGACTCCGTGAGACATTGTGAAGAATCTTTTGTTAATAAACCCCACATTACATACTTCTATACACTACGTTTCAAAAATAATAAAACGAATGTGACTGTAAATAATGTGATAAAGGTCCTAGTGTGAGGATTTTAACTTCTATTCAAAGTCACCACATTGAAGACTTTAAATTCAAGGTCTAAATGATAGACTTTAAACTCAAGGACAGATTGTCTAAGAAAGGACAAACAATTAGCATTCAAGTTAGTTCCCTGTAAGTACAAAATTAGCAATCACTAAACAGATTAGCCTAATTAGAAATTTTGTTCATTTCTCACTGACTCGCAACTATACGAAGTCTTTCCATAGATCATTCAGTCACAGTACCTCTATCCTTGTGTAGAATTTCTGCTACATTTTAAGTTCTTATTCAAAACAATTTTCTTCCCATTTCTGTATTTTTAAGTAGAAAATATTTTAAAACAAAGAATATCTCTTCCTTAGCCAGAGAATGGTTTCTGCATTGATTCCCAGAAGAGGAAAAAAGAAAAGATTCCTGTTTCCTCTTCTACCTCAAAGCGATAAAGCAAACCAAACAATTCCAGCTCCTAATATAGTTTCACCCAGAGCCAGAGACAGTATTCCATGCTAGTTCCCTGCTATATGCTGAGCACAGTGTAGTTATTTACATTAAGAAATCTCTCAAACAGGCTGAGTCATCCCAGTGCTTCCCTCAGCAGAAGACAGGCTAAAGCAGACGTGAGCAGCGGCGTCTGCGAATGGGAACATCGAAGACTCTCCTCCGCCTCTCTTCCTCTTCTTCTTCATCTGATTCATCCATGTCCGCTGAGTCATCATCTTCATCTTCTTCTTCCTCCTCCTCTTCTTCCTCTTCCATCTCTTCGTACTCATCAGGACCCATCTCCTTGAAAGACAAAACAATCTTTTGATAAGAAGAACATCCAACAGGTTTTTATCGTAATTTAGGGCAAATTTTCATTGATCTAGAATACCAACAACCATACAAGCCATCTATCAGTTTTCATAGATTTCAACAGTGCAGTTTCATACTGCGGGTGCTGGTGCAAGGTTCTCAGATGTACACTGTATCACATGTTCAATAATGCTCAGTATGCTTCTAATGGTAAACATAGTTCATTATGACTGTACTTAGGTTTTATATGGTGGTTGTTCATTCAAGGTAGCAAGTAGACTCACAAAAATCCAAGATGAAGTTTTGCTGAACTTATCATACTGATACATTAAATAACGATTCTTTCAATAATCTACACACTTACAGAAAAGAGGTGAAAATATCAGTTAGGTAGGACCTCTACTGGTCACTTTTATGTACTATCAGCAAGAGGCCTGGAAAACATTTATTCAACTCCTACCATAAAGACATGTTTTAACTCAAACATCAGTAGCCTCTACTTTAAAAAGAATTATTTTTATTGTTTCAGGGGCTCCAACAACAGTCATTTATTATCTCTCCTGGTTCTTGTGGGTTGGGTATTTGGGAAGTACTTAATGGGGCAGTTCTGGCTTGAGGTCTCATGATGTCGTACTCAGGTGGCTGAACTGGCATCACCTCGAGGGACTCTTCACTCACATGTCTGGTACCAGGGCTGGGGTGATCTGTATATCTGGAGAAGGAAATAGCTGGGGCTCCTGTGTGACTCCTTTGGCTTCAGGCAGCAGCTCTATATGTTCTCTCCAGTAGAGCAGCTTCATGGTGGCTGGACTTCATCCAAGGTAGGAGGCTCAGGACACCAAAGGCATATTCCAGGAGGGAGAGCTAGGCTAAGGGTGTATCGCCTTTTTCTAAGCCTCAGAAATCAGTGTCACTTAGCCAGTTCATTAGAAGCATATCTCTAACATCAGTCAGTTCACACTGTAGGGAAAGGGTAGCCTTATTTCAAGTCACTTGTTGAAGGCTCTAGAAGAGGAAGTAGTAGTGCTGAACACCAGATCTCTGAGTATTTCCTAGAAACTTTAATTCTGCTTAAGCACTGTCTGTAATCAAGCTTTCCCTTAACTGGCTGCCAATTTTCTCTCCGGAACAAGTGAAGACTCAATGAGAAGAGTTGCTACATTGGAGCCAGTTGGTAATCTGAGAAGCACTGGGAAACTTGGGAGCATTTTATCAACAAAAATCCTCCTACTAAGGCTTTTATGACATCTCATGACCCAACAGCCCACCATCCCTCCAATCTCATCTCCAGCCCCTCTCCCCTTCACTTGCTGCACTCCAGCTATGCCAGCCTCCTGTTTCAAGCCAAGCACAGTCTTATGTTAGGACCTCTTGTGTTAGGATCTAACTCTTGTGTTAGGACCTCTGTACTTGCTGCTTCCACTGAGCACTCTCCTTCCAGGCATCTATCTGGCTCCCTCCAACGCTTTTACATCTTAGCTTGCAGGGCACGGAAGCCTTTTCTAACACATCTTTGTATCAGAACCAAACAGGGCTCTGCTCTTCTCCTGCACTTTCATTTTTTTCCATCATACTTGTAACTGCTTGGAACAAGTAAATAGTGTGTATCTGTTATAGTTTGGCTCTTCTAATTAGAACGTAAATTCCAAGACATAGGTTTTTATTGTATTGTTACTACAGTACTCAGATATTTGTTGAAGGAAAAAATGAACTGATGTAAGAGAAAAAAAACTGTGTTACTTAGAATTTATTATAACACAACAATAACAATTAGAGACTATAAAACAGGTAACATAAGATATTCCATTACTTGTATCTTTGGAAATAAATATATATATTTTTTTAATCTAAGGAATGAAGGCTTTAAGATTCAGTAAGAGGTCCAAAAACTAGGAAGGCAAAGACTTTGGAATTTCTAAAACATGATGTTCAGGTGGTATGAGTATTAATTATTTAATAAGGTTAGAGGAATCAACATGTCAAAAAACAAGGATAAAGAGATAAAAGTTTACATACACTAACGTCACATGGAAAGAGGAACACAGACAAGAATGGAAATAAGTAAGCAGCAGAAGTCTCTACAAGGCCCTCAAACAAGCACAATTACCAACCCAGCTAGACCCGGAGAAGGCAATAGGACTAACCAAAAAGTCCACTTTGAAGTGGCAAAGCACAAAGACAAAGGAAATATTAAAGCATACTAATTAGACTGATAGAAGACAAAAAGAAGAACAATTCAACTTCTATATCAAGAAAACTAATATAGGAACAGGTAATAAATTAACAAATACAACCCCCATTGTCTTCTTTATGTTGCTTAAAAGTCCAGAATTCTCATTTCTGTTTATTGATTTCTCATCTTGAGAGAAGACATTTTGAGAAGGTCAAGATTTTATATGTTTACTTGTGTTTAGGAGAAAACTAAAACTCTAACACGTACAAAATTAAGAGAGAGATGAACATGTAACAGGTTTATTTATTGTAATTTTAAAAGGAATTGGTAAATGAATATTATCCAACTTTTCAGTTTTAATTTCTAATATGGTCAATACTGATATAGCCCATGTAAACAAGAATTGTTTGGATTCCTTAGTAAGTGTCAGCACCTAAGGGGGCCATGAGGCTGGAATGCTTGAGAACCACTGTCCCTAATATAAAAGCAAGCCTCAAAAGGATCAAGCTGACCCAATAGGAGTTCCACTCCCTGCCTAAACAAACCTCAGTCCTCTTAAACTTTAGGATAAGGAATATTATCAGAGATGAAGAAAGAGATTCATAATGATAAAAGAACTACTTCCTTGGAAAGACATAATAATCGTAAGCACATTTACACACAATTATAAAGCTTTAAAATACATGAGGTAAATCTGACAGAACTAAATCTGACAAAGCCATCATTTGGAAATTTCAACAATCATCTTTTCAGTAGTTGACAGAACAAAGACTGAAAATACCATAAATATACAGATGACCTGAAAAACACTGTCAACCAACCAATCACTTTGACCTGTATTTATAGAATAATATTCCCCCAATGGCAGAATATACATTCAAGTATACAAAAATCATTTACCAAGATATGTAAATTCTTCACATGTTGAGCCACAGACATATAAAAATAATGAAAATACAGAGTAAGTTCTTTAGTCACAATAAAATTAGAAATCAATAACCAAAAGATAACTGAAAAGCTTCCAAATATTTGGAAATTAATACATTTCTAGAAAAGTCATAGACCACACTTAAATTACAAAGGAAATCTATTTTGAACTAAATGTTAACAAAAAAAATATCAAAATTTGTGAGATACAGCTAAAACATTGCTTAGAGATGAAAAGTCTAGTAACATCTACTTTATGAAGCTAGAAGAAAAACAAATTAAACCCAAAGTAAGTAGAAGAGAAATAAAGACAATTGCAGAACTCAATGAAATGGAAAGAGCAAACAATAGAGAAAAATCAGTGAAATCTAAAGTTGTTCGTTTAAGTGATCAACAAGTGATAATAATCTTATGATGAACAATAGAGAAGATATGTTACCAATATTAAGAACAAAAGAGGACATGTGACTATAGCTCTTATAGCCATTAAAAGGATATCAAGGGAATACTGTGAATAACGCCAATGAATTCAACATTTAGATGAAATGGACAAATTCCATGAAAGGCACAAATTATCAAAACTGAAACAAGAAAAAACAGAAAATATGAATATTAAAGAAATTAAATTCGGTTTTTTTCCCACGAAGAAAACTGCAGTTCCAGATAGCTTTCTAGAAGATTACTAATCACTTAAGGGTAAGTTGATACCAGTTTCACACAAATATTGGACTGCTCAAAAGTCTGGGCCGGGATTTAGCTCAATGGCACCATGCCTGCCTTGCAAGTGCAAGGACCTGAGTTCGATCCCCATTACAAAAAAAAAAAATAGCACACTGAAGTCTGTTACAGGAGGTAGCAAACTCCTAGAACTAAAAATATAATTTCTAATTTTCCTCCATTGGGGAAGAGAGCTACAACTTCACTTACAAATCCACATTGTAAGCCCTTTTTACTGTCCCACAGTATAAAGGTCTAGAGGCTCATCACCATCGTTTTCTTCCCAAATTGGACTTGAGAATGTGTCCTCTCAGGATCAGGTTAATATCATGTCCATCTTCCCACACTTATTTCAGACCCACCTATTAGGACCATCCTGGAGTTAAAGACCATTTTCTGAATAGTCAATGCCTTCAACTCAGTCGTGTTCAGAATATACAATTCATAATTTATTCCTACTGTGTAAAAAGAGCTTCATAATTTCCTTTAACCATTTCCTAGTTCATAAGATTGGGGTTATTGTTATACCTTTCAAAAGTAATCCTAAAATAGGTTAAAAATATACCTAGTTGACTTGAGAAATGATCCCAGGAAGAGTCTGCTAAAAGTATACGCCTAACCATTAAATCCTCTCTGTAATGTTCTATACAGGGTGTCTGTTTATTTTACTAAACTGGGTGTTTTAGCAAAAATGAAGTAGAAAATTGGTTTCCTAGTCTTAATGCAATAAAAGAAAGCCAATTCTAATGTGGTACGTCTCATATTCTAGTATATCTAGGCCACAGAACTGGTTTTGGAAACAGTGCAGAAGTTGAATCTTTCAAACAGGTAATAGTGGAGTTTCTCTAGTTGAAGAGTAGGGAGCATAGTTTACCTGTTGTTCACCTCTCCCAACATATTCACATGACCCCCAAAATACTTTCTCAGAAGGTCCAAAGTTCTCTGGTATATCATTCATAAACCACTTATCTGCCTGAACAAAGATCTTCTGTAGAGTTAATTCTACAAAGTCACACATATCAGCACTAAAGGAAAAACTTAACTTACCAATCGGGCTATAGACACCCTGAATGTTGGACAAGCCATATGAAATCGAGGAATGGCAACATTAAAAATCTTGTCTTTAAAGTAAAGGAAATGGAACGTATAATATCCTTCCATGTATCCTGATGTTGTAGAGAATGTGGTACAGCTTGTATATTCATATACTCGACCTGGGCTGATGATTGGAAATTCACCTGCAGAGTAACCAATAACAATAAACCAAAGTATAAATTCAGCTCATTACAGGAAATGTTATGTTGTCTATGACACTATGTAAATTTTGTAAAAGTAAATGTACCGTTAGAAAAAAGAACCAAAAAGAGATAAAACAATATGCTAACAGGGATGGAATTATAAGCAATGACTTAATTCCTCTTGACATGTTTTCTCACTTCCCAAATTCTTTACAGAGTAGTGGATGAGTAACATCTAGTAAAATAAAACAAAAAAAGGTACATTTGCTTTTCAAAGAGCTTTCAGGCCTTGAACATATAATCTCTAAGACATGAGTAATAAGATGTTACAGATAGCAGCTCAAGCAGAGATAAGGGTAATCTTAACTGTCTAACAGTAGCAAGAGACTGTAACATCAGGTTATGAAGATGCATGCTAAAAATTTGGACCAGATAAAATGTCAGTCGCAGGGGAGGGTCTTCCCACCAATGCACCAAATGACAAAAAACAATTATGATTTCAATAAAATTCTTTAGCACCAGATTTTCATGTAAGTCTCAGTCAAATTCATTAGCTAAACATGCAGAATGCTAATCTATGCGTGCCAATAAATTAGAAAACTATTTAAAGTAAATTCTGCAGATGCTTAGGACTGATAATTGAAGTACATGTTATTTTCCTGAAGCACATTTTCAACCCTGAAGAATATGATGGTTCAGAAACAGGATAATCAGGCTTCCTTTTTTTTAAAGTCATTGATAATTGGACTTAAAGTAAATAAAAGCGAAATGTAAAAATCTGTGATTTTAATTTCAAAATCTTACCCCAAAATTTTAAAAATCTGCTGAAGATGAAATTTATTTCCATCCTATGCATCTAACCCACAGAACATAATGATGAATAGTTAACCAGTTTTAAAAAAATAACAGAAAAAGGATAAGACACTCTAGGTAATCCACAGAAAAGGAAATTAATCCCTGAATAATTGAGTTTGCTATAACTTTAGAAAATTAACATTTAAGGGACAAAGCAACAAAAAAGTCCTTAGCCTAACAACCTCTATACTTTGCATTTATGGATGTAAATTTTAAAATTTCTTTGAGGTGACTGATGTACAAACCTAAATTGTGGGTTACATACCAACAACTCCAGGTCCTTGAACTTCTTCTACATCTCCTTTAGCATTTGTTATTCTCCAGTAGCGACTGTCCAGCTGACAAGCCTTCTCAGGAAGTGCATCCTTTGACATTTCAATCCTGGAGGAAGGAGTGGTGTAGTAAAGACACAAATCTGCCCTATGTGCTTGGTTTTCTTTTGTTTAAGAGCTACAAAATTAGGGTTAACACTATGAAAGAAAATTTCCAAAACCCATCAAACTGTTAGACATTTATTTTTCTAAGTTCTCAAAGATACTGCCTTAATTAGTCACAGAAATGCTTTCGGTTATGGACTTTCAGTAAGGAGCAAAATAGAAAGGGCAACAGAAATATGTGCAAATACAGTGACAATCCTGTATGGCAAATCCTTTTTAGAACACAGTATCATGAAAAACTTCTAAAGAAGTCTTTTATTCGCAACACAACTATTTGACCCATTTCTTTTTTCCCTTAGATTCTAAAAAGCTCAAAGTAAAATGACACAAATTACTGGGTTTATACTTTGACTGTGTTTCCTCATACTATCACTTCTTTTCTCTAGAAATCTGCTCTCTTATTTTCACGTTGAGTACTCTCTCCTATAGCACATGTGACTCATTTTAAGCATGACTCAATCCTAGGCAAGATCTAAAATGAACAATTAAACAACAAACATTTTTTACCTGTTCTTGGACATATCAAAGGCTACATACAATGCCCAAATCCCACGATGCTTCTTGGCAAGTATATATTACTAAAATATTTCCAGGATGTATACATGCATACTGTACACATATGCCACATTATAAAATATATAAATATGAATTTTGAAACAAAGTATCTGTAATCCCTTGGAGCCATGAGTAGTCCTTATGTCATACAACAAAATACTTCTAAGCAAAGAGAATGTAAAATATTTGTTTCTATTTAATCAAATCCAATGCCTCACACCACGTATGACATACATGGAACACTCAATAAACTTTAGATTTTTAATTGAATATAGATGGGTCAGATGAAATTTAAAATGCAAGGCTTCATGTTTGTCAATTTGATAATTTCTAAAATACATTTCAACTCTAGTACAGATCTTCGATGATTACGACTTTAGTATGCTTCCTACCGTACCTGGCACAATACTTTCTATCTAGTTCATGTGCACCAGATAAGTAACATAGAGATTAATAGAAAGTTAAAGTCCTTTACAAACACTATAGTGTACAAAATGTATCTACTTTCCTCCAAACTTCAGCAAGAACCTATCTTTTAAAATACATTTTATTCAGTGGTAGAGTGCTGGCCTGAATGCATGAGGCCGATTTTGATCCCTACCACTGCAAAACAAAACAAAAAATGGAAACAAAAAAACCCCCTCCAAAGGTATTTTATGCATATCAAGTGGGACAAAAGCAACACATCCACAGAATATATCACTATCAACTGAAAGGCAGACCGGTTTAAAGTTCTCACCTGATTCGGTATGTGAAGAAATAGTGGGGTGGGTGTACAGAACTGAGTTCTGGCAGAAACGATGTGGAAACAGAAACTGTAATATCCCCAGTTGTTGCTACACACTCTGGATCATGAACATATCTGGAAGTTTAAAAAATTAAACATTCTAAAGTAAAGTAACTTTAATTCCGTAAGACTAAAGGTTTAAAACTACAATGCACAATAGTTTATTTATACTTTAAAATCAAAAATATAAATCATATTTGGGTATAGTCCTATTGAATTTAGAAAAAAATTAGAAATGTACTAGAAAACCTTGGCTCAGTAATGACAATTAAGGATCAATGAGAGTGGCTCAAATAATGCATCGTTAAGTTTAAAAAGGGCTTATCTTAGTTTTCAGAGCTAAGAAAATTTTAGAGACATCTGAAAACGCAGCTACATCCGCTAAATGGTGGCTCTGATAATAAAAATCTATAAAAATATGTAAGTATATTAAGTCTAATGTATAATTAGTCTGCTGTTCCTGCCTTTAATCTAGAAGCCCATAATGTATAATTATTCTGTTTCTGCCACAAAGGCTACTGTGAACTAATAGCATCTCTAATACTAATCATAATACCTGAATGTTCCATTTAGAGATAATATATAATACTTGGCAGGAGGAAATAGTTTGACTTGCTATTCATACTAATTCTATTATCAAACAGCCTTTTGTTTTGTTCAAAGACAAACTATGTAGTTTCTATCAAGCGATAGCTTCTAAATTAAAAAGTGAGTTTTTACTCTTGATTGTTCATGTCAGCAAACTACTCATTAAGTGTTTAAATGTTTTGCTTTTGCAGTGAGAATAGTGAGATTTAAGATAATGAGAGGTTCTGTTACTAACTTTGGGAATTTTAGCTCATGATCTGTGACATACGGTTTTCTCTGATCTATAATCATTTCAATTCTGAAAGCCCAAAATGAAATACCTGAAAATTTGGTCTCTGATGATGGGGAAGCCACCTGATACAACATTGCTGACATAAGAGGTAAACCAGTCAGTAAAAGTAGCACCTATGAACCAGGAAGAGGGAAAAACAACATACAGTTTTATAAAATATACATAGGAAATAAACAATTATTATTTCTTTAAGCTTAAGATGTGATACCAAAACTGGAAACATTTACAGAGGCAATTCTACTAGTCCTCTATCATGTCAATTTCTATTCTCAATTCCACTCACTTCCTTGTGATTCTGTCTCTTTCCAAACCTTGTGAGAGGGACTCCTTCAGCTACCTTCAACCTTTTCTTAAACATAACCATTGGTTCTGGAAATAATGAAAAACTTCCTGTTCATAATTTCTAAAGCAAGCAGAACAAAGGAGATTTAGCTATGTCTAGGAAGAAACTACCCCAAAAAATGTCAGCATCTATTCTCAGATGACTAGGGCACACTGTGGCCCAGGGATGTGCTGACTTATACACAAAATTCTGGCAGAAGCCAAGCTCAGTCTGGATGTCCAGCAAAAGCATGGCATTGTAGACTTCTGAGCATCCAACCCCAAAGTGCTGCAGAGTGGCCCTCCGTCTTCTCAGTGACCAGCTCAAGGCAGGAAAGAAAGACTCAAACAGTCCAGTGCAGACCACATCAATGATGCAGTGGCTGAATCAATGGCAGCTATGTACATGAATTATGTTGACACTTCTAGGTAGCACAGCATGATGCTATCGGACCATGCCATTTCTTAACATAGCTCAAGGCCTGGCACATATTAGTTCCTTAGTGTTCAATAAATATTTTGTAGTCTGCTTTCAATTAACTGAGTTCTGCACTCTGCCACACTAAATGTCAGATGCTAACTTTATGTTATTTACTAATTATATTATTTAAGGAATCATAGAAGATACACTTTGTTTTGTATCTGAGAGTACAAAGCTGTAACAGTTTCAAAGCATCAACTGAGAGAAGGTAAACTGTAATAGTTGGCTCTTTTCCTCAATGTTTATTAATGGCCTATTTTGACTCATTATTTGTTATGTACTGAAAGACTGCCCATTATTCAGTCCACTTCAAGTAAGACATGAAGGAGCTATCTGAAAATTAAAATTCATAGATGGATCTGGATTTGATCCGGCATCACAAAAGGAATCATTTTATTTTTTATGTTTCTTGAATGTAACTTCTTTTTTCACATATTACACTTTTAATGTATTTTTATTCCAGGTTATGTTTCATAACTAGTACTTTCTTTCTTGGTTGTTTTTGAGACAGGGTCTCACTATGTAGTCCAGACTAGCCTTGAACTCACAGTGATCCTCCTGCCTCAATCTCCCAAGTGCTGGGATTACAGATGCATACTAAAGAACTTTTTAAAATCATTTTGTATACTTCACAGAATATTATATATGAAATAAATGATGTGCATATAAAAGAAATTGCCATGGTACACTTAAGCATACCTTCATTTAGTGTAACATATACCAAAGTATGTTCTTTAAGATGAGGACAGAATAGGTAGGTAGCATTCACTACTAAACTCATCTGAGGACAGATTTCAGTTTTCTTAAATATCTATTAATAGTGCCCTGAACACCAGGAGATGTCATCTTCTGTGTTATCAAAAATCCTATGAAACCAAAACCTAATTGAACCAAGATGCAATTTATATCTTAGGTGGTTTCCCAGCGAGCTCACATTTGGGAGTTTCTTACAGAGTGCTGGTGTTTCGCAAGGTCAGGAAGCTGCTCTCTCATTCTTCCCCCATGGCATGCACTGCACACCCCAGCTATTCTCAGTGCATCTCACACCTCCTGCTCTGCTCACCTCTCTAGGAGAATTCCCAGCTTCTAGGACAGTATTATCAGGCCTTAGCCCTCTGAGGTAATGGTGGTTTCTTCCACACTGTGCAGACAAGCACTAAACTAAGAGTAAGACTCAGAGCCTAACAGCAGGTTCCCTGATTGCTTGGGCAGCCTTCAGTCTATAAGCTGAGTAGCACTGCCTGGCTCAAGCTGCAATGGTCATCTCCAAAAGTCATGCAGAGATGTCACTGAGGGCAAGGAGCATGGGCAGGACCTCCAGAGAGTGCTTAACTTAGAAACCAGAGACCACAAGAGTCAGTGAGTGGAGAGCAAGGGCCTAAATTTAAAAGCTTTCATCACTTACTAGGTAGGAGTTAAGACCTTCTTGATACTGCAAAGTGTACCACAAACCCAGACTGTGCCCTGGTATGGAACAAATGGATATTTATTCCCTGTTCAAGATTGCAATTAGAATATGTAACAGCTAGCAAAGCCTTTTTGTTTTCTTTTGTGTTGCTCGGGACTAAACTCAAGGCCTTGTGCATGCTAAGCATGTGCTATACCACTGAGCTGCATGCCTAGTCCCCCTCTTTCCTATTAATACATGGGAATGTTTAATATGTGTTAGCAATGCGTTTAAAAAGCAGAATGGCCACAAAGCTTCTGATAGGTGGGCAAAATCTAAGCAATATGAGATTGAATGAATGCACTTGAATACTGACTAATGGGTTCTCAAAAACCTATAAGAAATATGCTTTTATAACCAAGGAAAACTAGTTGTGCCAAGAGGTTTATGAAGCACATGATCTGCATTGGTCTCAAAGACCGCTGCTTCTGAAGTGCCTAATGTGACCCATCAGTATCTGGCATTAGCACCAAAGAGACAGAGTGAAGTCAGTTGTATATGTTCAATTATACACTAGTATGACCAACAGAAAATGCAGATGTGTTAGAACTATGTGCACAGCAATTCTATGCATCTCACAAATCTATAGAAGAGCAGTAAGGGCACAAGAATGCAAAGGGTGTGACCTTTTTTTCCAAATAGAAACAAAATTCAAAGAAAATGTAAGAGCTATTCTAATGACAGCTTAGATGTAGTACTTTATAAACCAGAAAGCCTTAAGAAATCCAAGTATAGCCGGGGATTTAGCTCAGTGGTTTCGCCGCCTGCTGTGCAAGCGCAAGGACCCAAATTCAATCCCTAGTACCAAAAAAAAAAAAAATGCGTATGAAGAAATCCAAGTATAAAGTAGCCAGTTGCTCATGACCTAGAAAGTTTCATCAACTTTTTTTTAACCAGAAGGAAGAAGGGAAAAGAATAACTTTTTCTCCTACCTATGATAAACATGTCAATAGCAGCTGGATCCCGAGCCATTTGGTCCTAGGTGAGAAAAAGAATGTAATTGATACATTTCTCATTGTTCATTATCTGGATCTCTTCCCAGAACAAAGCAAAACAGATAAAAATAACTTAAGTGTTCCAATGAATACTCAGGTGTTCCTCATACTTTTGAGTTCTTGCACTTAGGATTCCTATGTTTAGGCTCTTCCTATAACCTCCTTGGAAGAGTACAGGCACTTCAGGAAGATAAACACTTATGTACTGCTACTACTGTTAGCAGGAATGAAGAAATTATTCTTCAAGAACACAGCTAGGAAGTTGAGGTAGTAAGATAGATGCCTTGTTATATCCTGGAAGAAAGAGCTTTAGGTTGAAAGTTAAGAGATCCAAATAACTCTAGTACAATCAAAAGCTAAATTTTTAACAAGTTAGAAACATGTTATAATTAAGTACTTCAGTGAGTTCCTCATTAGGTTCCCTTAAAACTTCAAATCACAGCTTTCCCTCTGTATATAAAGGAGTTCACTGTTTATCCAATGCTAAAGCTTTCTTATGGCATTCCACACCATTCCGTCCAATGGTAAAGCTTTTTTATGGCATTCCACACCATTACGTCACAATATTAGCTTTTTAGTTAGTCTATCCCTATTCTTCAACCCTGAAAATACTAATGCACTCATTTATGTAATCTTCAAAAGGCACCATAAAGCCACATTGAAACACACTGCTACTTACTGGACACTGGTAGAAAACTTCATTTTTGTTTCGGCCCTCTGCTGCTTCCACAGCTATGTACTGACTCAAACCAGTATGGATGCAAAAGGTCAAAGGGAGGCAGTATTTCAGTCCCTGCCTCTGCTGGAAGCCTCCGGCGGCTGTGTCAACATCTAACAAATCTTCAGAACGATAGTGATTCGACAGTGCCATACTTCCCAACAACCTAAGGGAACACAGGCTCGAAGATGTACAAGACTGCAGCATCAAACTGAAGCCATGCTTCATCTACTTGATGAATCATTTCACACTGACAACTTTAGAAGGACTATTTAGTAATTCTAAACCGGGAATACCAAAATCAATACAAGTTTCAGTATATTAAATTCACTTGTGACCATAAAGATTATGAAAAAAATTGAGTTAAGTGTTTAAACAGTCTAAATGTCAGTCTTTAAAAAAGAAATATACTTACGTTGCTTTCAACAATCTACCTCTAGTTAGACTCAGTGGTGTACACCTATAATCCTAACAGTTTCAAGTCTGAGGCAGGAAGATTTGAAGTTTGAGCCCAGACTGGGCAACTTAGCAAGACCCTACTTCAAAAATTTGTTTTCTTTTTTTTGGGGGGGGGGGGTACCGGGGATCGAACTCGGGTCCTTGTGCTTGTGCAGCAGGCGGCGAAAACACCGAGCCCCCAGCCCACAAAAATTTGTTTTCTGAGACAGGGTATTGCTATGTAGTTCAAGCTGGCCTTGAATTAGTGGCGATTCTCCTGCCGCAGCCTACTGAGTGCTGCAATTAGAGATGTGAGCCACAATGACTGACTAAAAACATTTTTAGAAAGGGACGGGGATTTAGCTCAGTGTGAATACTCTGGGTTCAACCCCTGTACGAAAAAAAAAGCAAAAGGAAGGAATGTATCTTGCCATGATATAATGATTTGCCAATGTTTTGGTATATATATGTAAATGGCTAACTTAATGTTTAAAGGGGTAAATTCTCTGATAACCTTTATTTAGATACAAACTTTAGCTTACCTTCCAATCAGAAATTAAATGCAAGTCAGTCTAAATCTTGTTCAAATTTGAAATACATGGGATAAATTAATTAATCTCACTCCATATGTGTACTAGTAATAATGCATGTATCAAGGACTACCTAATGGTTCCTACAAGATTTCTATCCTAAGCCTCCTGCTTGGGCTATACATGTATGTTCAAATTCATGACTTACTTGGTTCAGAGGGCAATTCTTAAAACAAAGTTCCTCCTGTTTGCTCTTAACATATGACAATTTTTAACTTTGCCACATTTCAGTTTGACAAGGAAAAAAATCACCAGCACAGGTTTATCCAGTCCTAACTGACTTCTATTTCTGACTTGTGCCTGATAGCTGATGTGTGAAAAAAGCTTTGCAATGTCACTGTGATCACTTCTGAGATTCCCTGAACACACTCAACTTTCATCTGAAGTTGTGATCAGAGTCTCACAGGAGTCTTCACGCATAAGAGAACACCAGCTGTCAATGAGGACCGTGCAATGTTCTCCTTGCCCTCATTAGCACTTCCAATACCAAAGTCTCTGAGATGGTTTAATGTCATGAACATACAAACAGAGCAGACCTAGTCAAAGCTGTGAGGGAAAATGATGGCTAGTACACAGTCTGCTTTTACCAAAACTTTCACAATAATTATGTCATCTTTTAGCAGTTTTAAATAGGCATTTGATTACAAGCTACTCTTGACTATGACAAAATTCATGTTTTCTTTAGTGTACGTAGCTCTGAGCAAAACAAGCTCCCTAAAGAGTTTACCTGGCCTGTAACAGGATAATCATATAAGAATTCCACAGAGTTTAGTTAAAATATACTTCCATGCACCTCTGCCCTCTGTCCCTATACCCTTGACCCCTGAACAGACTTCACTCTTATTATAAGGATGTTGGTAGAAATGTTTTTATGAGACATTTAATTTTGATAAAAACTAATTCAAGCTATACATTTTGTCTTATGGACTGCTATCAGGGGGAAGAGGGAATATCTATATTACTACTTTGTTAAGGGTAACTACAGAAACAATTCAATTACTTTAATTCTAGAAAAAAATATGCATCATTAAAAATAACCAAACCATGGAATATCTTACCCAGGAACCACTAGCTTCTGTCCATTGTGGATACGGTACGAACACCGATAATCATCAGGAAGCTTGCAACCAATCTGAGCCTCCACTGCGTCTAAGTCTTCCTCGCGAGCGCCCTCTGCAAATCACACAAAAGAGGGAATTGTGCATGAGACTTCAATCCGAACAGAAAAAGAATCTATCTGCCAACTGCTGAAACAATCTTAGAGAATTCTTTCTAAAATATGTTGCTAAACTAAAATAAAAATAAATTGCTAAAGCATAAGGCAAATGAGTTGCTACCGAGCAAGCCAAAGTCCTTAGTTTCCTCTCAGCAGAGAAAACACTGGCACTCAGCAAAACATGAAAAGAAGGCACCAATGAGACGTACAATAGTTTTTCTACATTATAACGAAAACAGGATATATCTCATTTTAAAAAATTGAATACATTCATACCTCTTTATTTTTTTAATTTATTATTATTTTTTTTTTGGTACTGGGGATCGAACTCAGGACCTTGCACTTGCAAGGCAAACGGCAAAACCACTGAGCTAAATCCCCAGCCCTATACCGCTTTATTTTAAAAGCCAGATATTCCCTAAACTGATGTTTCTAGAATTTTAACATAATCTCTCTCCCTCTCTTTTTAATTTGAGATGAGGTCTTGGCTATGTTGCCCAGCCTGGTCTCAAACTCCTAGGCTCAAGTGATCTTCCTACCTCAGACTCCCACTGCTGAGACTAGAGGTACACAACTGTTGCTCAGCTTTAAAGTGGTCTTTCTATGATAAATAAAGATAGGATGTAAGGTGTAGGTTCATGCTATGAGCAGGCCCCTGATTTGAATCCTAATTTGCACATTTGTAAACTTCTACACAGTTAAGCTTTAAAAAGCAAGAAGAAACTACCAATATGAGAGGAGAGGTTCACTTTCAGTAATGGCCCACCAGGTTACTGTTTGAAGACTTACCAAAAAAACCACAAAGGAGAAGAGGAGGTTCAGAAGAAGTAAACTGAGAGGTTAGACAGGCTTCTGGAGTCACCTCATCTTTGAAACAATTGCCAATTCTAAAAGCAAACATGAGGCCAAAAGGCCAGGTAGCTGAGCAAAGATTTAGGTACTACCTTAGGCCTGAAGGGTAAAAAAAAAAGTGAGGTGCAGGGTTCACAAAGGAGAAATGGACCTGATAAAAACCAGATCTTCTGGCTAGAACCCAGAAGGGGTCCATCCCAGGAGCAGGGGAAACTAAAAATAGACTAGCATAGTGCTTACAAAGACTAAAGCCCAGCTTCTCATCACAGCAGTCCTAACTGGATTAAGGTGATCTGTCCACTGACTAGCTGCCAGTCATACAGAAATCTGTAGAAGAAGGTAACACTGCCCCAAAACTCAAGTGATGTCTAGCAATCAATCAAAAATAAATTTTAAAAACTAGGCCTATATAAAGACAAGATCTGACTAAAGAGCAAGAGGAAAAAAGAAACTAACTGAAAATAAAACTAAATTCACAAAATATCCAGTTACTGGAGTCAGTAAATATGGACTTTAAAAGCCATAAGTACCCATAAAATACCCACACATGGATAAATTCAATGAATTCAATGACAAGATAAAGAACCTTTGAGTCAAGAAGCAATTATGAACCTCATGAAGAATACACAAATCTCTGGAAAAACTGCTGAAAATAAAAGAGAAATCTTAAAATCAGCCAGAGGTAGAGAAAGCATATGATTACTACCTTCAAAGGAAACATAGTCAAACTAACACCAGACTTCTCAACAGAAACAAAGAAGTCAGAAGAATGACATCTTCATAGTGATTGAAAACATCAGTGCTGATTAGAATCCCCCCCGGCCCCAGGTACCAGGGATCGAACTCGGGACCTTTCTCTCACAAGGCAGGCGCCGGAACCACTGAGCTAAATCCCCAACCCTAGAATTCCATATCTAGTGAATATATCTTCCCAAAGAGTGAAGATGAAATAAATACATTTTTCGGATAGATACCACAGCTTAATGGTACAGCTCTGTCCTAATGTATGTGGGGCCTTGAATCAATCCCCAGCACCAAAAGAAAATTAACTAATTAAAAAGAAAATCATACATTTTTAGACTAAGAAAATCTGAAAGACAGAAGCAGCAGTTCCTCATTAAAAGAAATTCTTCAGACAGGAAGACAATGATCCTCAATAGAAGCATGAAGATGTAGGAAGGAAGAACAACCAAAAAAGGTAAATATAAAGGTAAATCTAAATCAATGTTGAGTATCTATACAATAATAATGTTTTTAGGAATATTAAATATGTTGAAAACTAAAATCACAAACTAGGATACAGAGGAGATGGGGGTGTAGCTCAGCCATACAGCAGGCTTGCCTAACATGCACAAGTACCTGAGTTTGATCTCTAGTACTCTACTCCCCTCCCAAGTAAAACCTCAAAACTGGAAGGCAGGAGGGAAGTGTTTGGAATTAAGGCATTCTAAGCTTCTTTCATCATCAGGAAGTCATGAAAATACTATAGGCCTTATTAAGTCAAAGATGTACAGTTTAATATCTATGGTAACTGCTAAAAAAATATAAGAAAGGGTAAGGGAATGGAAAAAACAATTTAGAAGAATGCAAAAAAATAAGAAGAATGCAAAAAAACCCAGTGAATATATTTAAATTCAAATACATACACTAAATATGAATGGGCTAAATAATCTAGTGAAAAGATAAATTGACACATGAGGTGAAAAACAAGGACTGAGGATGGAGGTCAGCACTAGCCTAACATGCACAAAGCCCTAGGTTCCATCGCCAGCAACATTTAAAGAAAAACAAAAATCAACCAAATCAAAAACCACATAATTATATACAAGAGATACTTTTATATAACAGATACAGACAAGAAAGCTAGAACAGTTTTACTAAAAATCACAGGAAACAGACTTTAAGGGAAACATCTTTACTATAGCTAATTGAAGATTTCTCATTATAACAGAAAGGTTAAATCCACTACACAGATATTATAATTCTAATTTTATGCACCTAATAATAGGGCTTCAAAATATATTTTTTAAATGAACTGAAATGGAAAAACTTTATCTACAAGCATAGTTTCCCACTATTGCAATATCAGCACCTTAACATAACACTCATGAGCTGGGACTGTAGCTCCGGGGTAAAGTGTTTGCCCACCACACATGAGGCTCTGAATTAAATCCCTAGAACCACAAAACAAACCACCAAACCAACAAAACTCATTCATTTATTTTTCAAGTAAATGTAAGGCTGTGACCGCCCAGGCAAGGCTCCTTTCTTAAATGCCTCTCCCATACAGGACAGTTAGCCCCTCTTCTCTAGGCTCAGCTGAGGGGAGGTAGAGGGGCTGAGTCTACCTCCCAGGAAACAGAGTCAGGACTCTCACATATTATTTCAGTTTGTGTAGGTCAGAAGTCCAGGTGTGACTCAACTAACCTACCACTCAGGTCCTACAAGGCCAAAATCTCACTCTATTGGGATCCTCTTCCAAGCTCACTGAATTCAATTCCTTGCAGCTACAGGACGGAGGCCCTCTGTTCTGACAGGAACATTCCCTACGATGGATGTCATTCCCTATAATGTGACCTTCCCCATAATGTGCCAGTTTGCTTATTCAAAGTCAACAGAGAGAGACACTTTGAATCTCACAGGCTTCTGGAAGGCCCAGACCCTTTCAACGACTCACTTGATTGAGGCAAGCCCGCTCAAGATCATTTCTCTTTTGATTAACAAAGATCTCAAATTCAACTAATTTGCAAAATTACATCTGCAAAAATCCCTCAACCTTTTCCATATTATGTGGCCTAATCACAGTACAGTAGTGAAATCAATTCACAGTTTTGCCTACACTCAAAAGAGATGATTGTCCTTAGGTATGTACACCAGGGATTGGGATCTTGGGGGCTACCTCAGATGTCTGCCTCCCCAGTGAGAGATTTCAGCATACTTCTCTCAGTAACTAACAGAAACAAGCAGAAAAGAAAAAGTGGTGCAGAAGATTTGAAAAAGATTAACAAATTTTGCTTTATTATATCTACAGTACTGAACCAAACATTACCAAAGCTACATTCTTTTCAGTTGAACATGGAAGTTACCCAAATAGACAAAACAGATTATTCATGGACCACAGCACAAATCACAACCAATTTTAAACGAGGTAACTCACAACCCAAGTTCAATCTCTGGTACCAAAAAAAAAACAACAAAAAAACCCCCGAGATAACACACAGAATATGTTCTCTGATCACAATGAATTAAAATATATTTTATTTTAAATTTTTCTTTAAAAATATATTTTTAAAGATTACTAAAGAAAAGCTCTGAACATTTGGAAGTTAAGCAATAAATTTCTATTTAGTCCATGGGTTAAAGAAGAAATTAAAACCAGAAAATAATGGTAATGAAAATATAATATATTAAACTCTGTGGGAGTTTAATAACTAACTGTGGGATAAGCTAATATGCTTAGAAATTTATAGCACTAAATGTATTAGAAAAAAAAAAGAAAGACTGAAAATCTATGGTCCAAGGAATCATCTCAAGTCAGAGAAAAAAAAAATCACAGTAAAACTCAAACAGAAGATGAAGAAAGTAATGAAATAAAAAATAAACATAATAAAGAGAAATGATCAAGAAGCCAGTTCTCTGAAAGACAAATTAGCCCTTACGTAGCAAGACTGATCAAGGCATGACAGTATAAAAAATTAATATTAGAATAGAAGAACTATCACTACAGATTCAATAAACATTAAAAAGACATACGTTTTCTTTTTATATTACAAAATGTTTTATGCCAATTAATTTGAATGTGTAAAGGGGATAATTTCCTAAACACAATTTCTCAAAATTGACATAAGAATAGAAAGTCTGAACAGTCCAATATCTAATAAAGAAATTAAATCCTTAATTGAAAACCTTCCCATAATAAAAACTCCAGGGTTGAATGGCTTGCTGCCAAAGGCCCTGGGTTCAATTTTGCATGTAAAAAAAATTTAAATAATAAATCACCATAGTTATTCTCAAGCAATCTTAGCAGTACTATTTTCTTTATATAAACAAATATAAAGAAAAAAGGAGTTCAGTTTTCTCTTCAAATAAACAACTTTGTGGGTTCCAAGGCTGAGCAAAAACAGGGCAAACTCCAGAGCAAAAGTCCTTTTAACTCTACTGGTGTTCTACTTCCTTGGCAGCTGCGAATGGTAGACTACAGATAAGCTTGTGTCAGTACAAGTGCACAAACAACAGAAATTCGAAGTTATTTAAACTAATTTATTCATACTAATTTATTTATAACCGAAATGGGAGAAGGAAGACCCTGCATTCCCAGTACCTTTCAGAGATAAAACCATCCGAGGACACCTGGGCTCCAAATATTTCTTGAGATCATCCCAGGCCTTTTTAATAGCAGCATAATGGTCAATGTATCTTCCTACATCAGAGTAAGTATCTATGAAGAGAGATTTCCAGCACTGATTCTTCTGTGTTTTCTCTTCCCTAAATAGATTTTTAAAATGAGATTAAAAATCTTTTGAAAAGATATTAGCATATATTTTCAACACCAACACATTTTATTATTTTAGTTACAAGGGAGACTATGTAGCAAAGAGTGATACACATATCAAAAATGTTAACAGGAGCTACTGTTGGCATGGTGGGATTATGAGTCACTTATTTTCTTACTTTCTACTCAAATTTTTTCTAGGTTTTCTAATCCTTCATAAAATATAATGTGAATAGTATATGAGTAGAAATTACAACTTCTAACAATATATCAACTGTAAAAATTTAAAAGGTATATATAGTTGTTCTATTTTAAAGAATACTTAGGCTCTAATGATATAAAGGGCCAGGGATGTAGCTCAGCAGTGCAGTGCCTGCCTGGCAAGCATGAGGCCCTGAGTTTGATTCCCAGTATCAAAAAACGCAAGCAGAAATAAAAGGCCAAAAATAAAGAATCTAATGATATAATATTAAGCTAGTGCATATACATTATATTACCCAGAGAACCATAAAGCAGCAAATTATATGACTCAACATTTCCATCTGGTATAATTCTGCAAACATTTATTGAGTGTCCACTTAGCTGCCACTGAAGACAAAAAATACGGCACAATTAAAAACAAATCTTCAAAGAAATAGTCTTACCAGGAAGAAATAATAAAGTGTAAATTTAAGATTCAGAAGTGATGGAGAATAAAGCAGTTATAGAAAGCCTGAAGATGATGAGCTTGCCTTTCTTGTGTAGAAAATGAAAACAATGGAAGAGTTTTAACCAGGAAGTTAAAAGAGCAGACGTGCAGCTCTGGTTTGCGGATGCGAACTAGAGGCATAGAAGAATTAGAAAGATTTTCCAGTGGTGCTGGCTAAGAGATGATGAACTGAACTAAAGCTGTGAAAGCTGGGTGAAATGAATAGGAAGCCTTAAGAAATATACAAAAGCTCAAACTAAGAAGGGTTGGCAATGAAGTCAATGTAGGGAAAGAGAGAGATCTAAGATGATTCCTCACTCGGGCTCGGATTCCTGGATGGATGGTGCTGCCATGAAGACTAAGGATGCAAAGGACGGGATTAGAGACGAGGAAAGAGCAGATCAAGGCAGGGGTTTCAGGAGGGGAGCATCTTTTAATTAATCTAAACAATATATATATATATATTATCAAAACTAAAAAGTACCAGAGAACTGGGCTAGGGGTACAGCTCAGTGGTAGAGTACCTGGCTAGCAAGCATGAGTCCCTCATGCCTTAAAAAATAAAATAAAAATGTAAAAAATACCAAAGAACTTGTGATAAAAAACTAGTTCTAAGTCCAACTTCTCAAAAGGAGCTTAAATTATTTAAGAATGTTATCTCTATAATTCTAATTGTTTAAATCTCTGATTCTCTATTGATCAGTTTTATACATATCTGCTGATACTCCAAAGTGAAAGATGAGGACATAGCAATACTTAAAATTAAAATCCAAATTAATAAAAATTCCCCCTTACCCGTTCTTCCTCCTCCCAATTTTAATAGCTGTATCATTAATGTTTAGTTTGGCAGAATTAAACCTTGCAGCTTTAAACAATACACTTAAACTTCTACTTCTTGCCTCCCCTCAGTCTAAGAAAAGATAGTAGTATTCCTACCTTTCCTTTCACCTTTCCCAACTCACTGTCTTGTCATCTACATTTCTGTTCTGTCAAACTGTAACTGAGTAAGCCCAGTTACTCCATGCATGACAGTCTAGCAGACAACTGTGCCATTGAAGCTAGAGTCCAGCAAGGATATAAGGGGGAAGAGACTCAGGTCTGGGAATTAGGGGAACTTAGGTAGTCACTAAGAACTGTAACAATACATGCTGAAAAGTCACAAAGGGAGAAGAGCAGTGGACCAAGAACAGAATCTTGGAGAGCTCCAAGTTTCCCCAGCAGGGCCACGAAGAGCCATCAAAGGAGACAAAGTCTAGGGAAGAGAGTCAGGACAGACTAGTGTTACAGTACCCAAGAGTCATGTTTCAAGAATACATATTCCTTAAAAAAAAAACAAAACAAAACACATATTCTTCACTAGAGGGTGGGAAAGGGAAGGAGGAAGGGAGTCAGAGGGAGACTAAATGACAAGTACTAAAATACTGTACAGTTAAATAGGAGTAATAAGTTCTAATGGTCTACACCACAGCTGGGTGAGTAGAGTTAACAGCAATTTATTCTATATTTCATAAAGAGCTAAAAGAGAGGAGTTCAAAGATTCCAAAACAAAGAAATGATTAAGTGTTTAAAAAGACAGAAATGCTAATTAGCCTGATTTGATCATTACAGTTGTACACATTATTGAATTATCACACTGTATGCCATAAATATGTTCCATTATTATGTTCCATTAATTATGTATCAATTAAAAGTTCAAAGTTAAAAATTTACTCTAATGAATCCTTTCCATAGACACACAAAAGAATACACATAGGGCCAGGGATTTAGGTTCAGCGGCACCGCATCTGCCTTGCAAGAGCAAGGTCCAGAGCTCCATGCTCGGTACCAAAAAAAAACAGTCCCCAAATACTTACTCAGATATCAGCCAATATTTTTTGCAATGTCTTCTCCACAGTGGATCATGACTTGATAGTTGGCTAAGTCTTCGACTCACATAACAACAACTGGCAATAACAAGATTTCATAGAAAGAGTAAAAGAAAATGCAAAAATATTAAAAATAAAGATTAAAATAGTCATTGCTAAACTTTGTTGTATTCCTTTCACTTTTCGTATTTTCCAATCAAACCAATATTTTCTAGGCACACTTGGGAGGCTGAGGCAGGAGGATAGCAAGTTCTAGGCCAGTTTGGGCAACTTAGCAAGTTTAAGACCAGCCTAGACTAAATAACAAGACCCTGTCTCAAAAACAAAAACATTATTTTCTAAGACAGGATTCTGTTTAACATGCTAAGCCAGTATAACTACCAAAATCTTTTCACTCACAAATCCTGAAACTTCTACAACTGTAATTTTTATAAGAAAGTCTATATATAAAACATATGTACTATTAGAGTTAATCTCAAATCAGAGAGTTTTCCTACATTATTATTATCAGAGTAGTATCACCTCTATGTATAAAAAATGTTACTTATGCATAAGGAAAATAGTTTTCAGGTCTTTTTTTTTCGTGATTTATAAGACAAACTACAAATGCACAAATCCTTTGCTTTGTTATAATTTTTTTAAAGGAAAAAATACTGCAGCCACCAACACTTTTCATTAAAGCAACCATTGGAAAATCCACCTAAAAAGACATTTAAATCATAATAGTTCTGATTCAATATGTATGACAAGTTACCAGCTGCCCCAAAGCATGGAATGTTAAAAGCAAATGCTTTTCCTACTGTATCGAGATTAATTATATTAGAATATAATAGTGCTACAACCCTATAATGCTACCATACATAATTAATTTGCAAAAAGAATGAACCTGGATTTCTATTCTTTCAGAAGAAAAATCACAATGCACAGAAAGTAAGTATTCAAAGATCTCATTTGGGCAACAGTTAACTAAATTTTAAATCACATGGAGTTTTTAAGGCCATGAGTAAGGTGTTCAAAAAATCCATCTATGATAAATTACTAGCCTTTGATTTAGAGGTTTTACAGAGAGATACCATCCTCATCCTTTTCTGCCATGCAAAGAAAACATTCAAACTAACTTCTGTAAACACAGGAGCCCCTCCAGTTTTATAAATTCAAGATTCATTTCCTTTTTTCTTGATTCCTCTCTCTCCACTGCCCCAGCAACTATAAGAAGCACCAAAGGTGATTTTGATGCACATCAAGTTTAAAAACTAGTGTTCTACATGGAGACTCTGATTCAGGTGGCCTGGAGTGAGAACTGTACCTCAGACATGGTTATGTTTAAAAGGTGCCACGGGTATTAATTTTGATGCACAGTGAAGGTGGAGAATGGCATATGATGAATCACTGGGATGGAAAAGGTAGCACATAATCTCAGATTCAAATTATGCAACTTATCCTATGCCAAGATCCTCACAAATTAACCCAATCCAAACCAATACTGATGAGCAAAAGAGTACCAATACTGTCAGGACTTGGCAATGGCTGAACATTTGGCAAAGCTTGCCTGTATGGTGCTGGAAAGAAGCTGCAGTACAGTGGACACATCTGAGTAACAGTCAATGGTATTCACCTCAGCTGATTTCCACAGACATTACTGGAGGGGTCATATCCCTTCTGTTTAAGTTTGATTACCACCTAAAACATTTAAAATAAAATCTATTCTCCTAATCTTGGCTCACGTCTTACATGATCTCACCAGTTTCATCTCACACTAGTCTGCTTGTGAGTCACTCCCTACTTCCAGCAACGCCAGGCTACTAAGCTCCTCCAATAGGCCATGCTGTTGAACAGTCCCATCAGCCTCTGAATACACTGTTCCCTCTCCCAGGACTGCACTGTGCTGATATGGCAGCTCTTTCCACTATGAATTGGTCACCTCTTCCTCCCCATTCCTTAACAGAGCAATCTATTTCCTTCACAGTACTTAGCACCTCTTGTAATTATGCATCTTTCCATCTTGCCTTGAGTCTGTAAGCTGCGTGAGAGAAACCTCATCTATTCTGTTCACTACTGTACTCCTTGACATTTAATGGGCTGGCACATACCAGGTACTCTAAAAATCTGTCCAATAAATGATGACTACAAAGATAGACAAGACAGTCCTTATATGTGAGAAGTGCACAATCTATCTGAGATGCCATATTTTGGAGAGGAAGGAATAAGGTAGACAGGGGACTCAAATTTCAACTTGCCAGGTTGAGAAGGGGGGAAGAAGATATTCCAGGCAGTCAAGAGCCTAAGCTACACAATAAAAAAGCTCAAGTTAGCACAAGTCTAATTTGATTACGGTGGACTGTGCAAATATGATAGTGGAGGAGAAATAAGGCCTGAAAAGCCTTAAATAGTAAGCTAGATGATAAAGGCCTTAAATGTCCAGAAGTTCAGGTTAGAGTCTGTAAACACCGGTATCATATGTTTTCAAGGACAGCCAGATCTGCCTTGGGAAAATCACTATGGCAGCAATCAAAACTGTGGGTGGTAGGGTGATGGAGGAGGGGGTTTCTAGATAGTAAGAGGTCATAGCAACAGAAATTTCAGATGAAAATAGTCTGAGCCAGAACAACCCTTTGTAAAGAAAAATTTTATTTTTCTGCATTGGTACAGCCTGAGCAAGGAAAAATGTATTTTCTAGAAAAAGCAGCAAGTAACCTGAGATATCCCTCCGTCACCACTTAGCTAGGCCAACCAATAGCTATCTGTAACTCCAAGAAGTATGTATTCCTAAAAGAATCCCTAATAACACAGGACACAGTAGCTAAAATCAAATGTCTAGAATCCGATGGTTAATCTCAGACACACAAAAGCAGCAAAGCTCATCTATTTGTCCTGAGAGGACATCCTCTCAAACATATATGATAGTACAAGAAACTCAGAGCCAGGCTCGTCACGGATATAAACAATCTGACAACGGGGGGGGGGGGGGGGGGAAAGGAGCGGGTCGCACCATTTCTTCTACCATCCCAAACACTGCCAATCTCTGAAAGAATTGGGCACTTAACCACCCTTCCCAGCAACCGACATTTATCTTTGATTGACGGCTTGAATGTGGGAAAGTCAAGGCGCGCTTAAGACGATCAGCTGTATCGCGCCACCGGAAGTCAGTACCAAAACACAAAATCCAACATCCAATCGTAAGGAGGAAAGGATTGAAAGCAAAACAGTTCTCAAACACAGAAGTCCCAAAGTGAGCCCTGCCAGTGGTCATAGTGTCGGTGTCATACCTGGGGTGTCAGGGTGGCCTGTCGCCTTCCCCCGCGCACTCTATCTGTCCATGCCGGCGCGGACACCGCAGGCCTCAGCTCAACAAGGAGGAGCGTGGGCAGGGACGGGGCTTATCTACGGCGTCCAGGGCTGGGAAAGACAGGGCAGGGCCCTTAGCTAGCCGGGGGCGCGACAGGGCAGCATGGGGGGAGCCACCTTCGTCCCAGGCAACTGGGCCTCGCTGCGGCCTGGGAGAGAGGGCTCGCTCTCGCCTCCCGGGTCTTGGGCGCTGCCTGTGAGAAAAACCTCAGGGCGGGGTCCTTACGTCCCGGCCCCTCGGCCCCCAGGTGGCTCTGCAGGATAAGGGCGACCCAGGCGTCACCTTCTGGAGACTCGGGATCCAGAGTCCACCGGCCTCCAGGCCTCCTTCCCTAGTGCCTCAGTGCCTCCTCCCACGTGCTCCCACCCCTGCCACGCGGGCCGCGCATTACTTGATTAGGTCCCGGTAGTCCAGAAAAGATAAAATGAGGAGCAAGGGATCGGTAGGCAGCGACTCCAGGGTCATCACCGGCAACTCGGCCTCCATGGCCGCCATCTTGCCTGGCGCGGTGCAGCCTGGCCCCGCCTCGGCCCCGCCCCCGCCGCCGCGCCCCGGCCGCCTCGCCCCGGCCGCTCCCCAGCGCGCGCGCTCAGGTTTGTTATGTAACCGACCTCTGGTTCCCGCCCCCAGGGCAGGCGGAGGGCGGGGACCACGAAAGCCCCGCCCAGCGCAGCTCCTCGCTAGTGCGCGGTGCACCTGCCCCGTCTGGTCCTGGTGTTCAGTCTCCCAGACCTTCCCAGGCTCTTTCGGGCTTTGTTCCCAAGTCTTTTCCGTCGTCCCTTCCCACCAAGTCCTCGTGCTCAGTTTTACACTCGATATCCTCAAATCCTCGTCCCAAACTTCACGCTAATTCCTCTCTGCCCTTGACCCGCAAATCCTCCATTTCTCTCCCTTTTCCAATCCACTCTCATTCCTCCCCAGTGGTCCGGGCCCCGCGTGTCCCAAGCAGACAGCAAGGCTGCTCTGAGCCGTCCACTCAGGAGGGGCCAGGTTGGGAATCTGCCGGAGGCGTGGGAGAAGGCTCTTCTTGCCAGCTGGGAAATAATCCTATAGGACAGTATTTTACCACCACCACCCCAAGCAAAACATACACATGCACTCAGTCTGAATGTCAGCTGCTCTCACTTAATTTCGTTGCCTGGGCTGTTTTTCAGTCTATTAGGGCAATGCAAAGTGTACACTAAGTGAGTTTATCTGTGTATGTGTTTGTGGCTAAGGATTAGATCCTGGAGAGTTAAGTACCCAACAGTGAAGGGATGAACTGAGACCTCTGGAGAGCATAATGATTGAGGCATGGATGATATGGGGAAAATAATACCCAGAGTTTTAGATGTCAGATATACTTAGGTCGTGGTCTCACAATATGGAGGAATGAAGTCACGAACTAAAGGAGGCGATTAAGAGAGTTTTATTGAAAATAAGAATAGCTCCTGGATTTCTGGGAGGAGTCTAGCATGGGTGGCCATCAGGCTTCTCAATCCAGAGCTACTTATAGATAAGAGCACAAGAACTGAATTGCTCAATTGTTTAGTGGCCACAAATCAAGGGTGGCTCTGGATTTAAAATGATCAATTAGAATTCAGGCTCTCTAACCCAGTTCTTCAACTTGTAGGGTTTAAAGAAAACTGTGATTTTAGGAGGAAAAAAATGGTTATTTTTTGTTTTAAATTCCTCAGAACTCAGGCACTTAGTAGGGAGTGGCTACACCCCTCCTTAGTAGGAAGTGGGCTGCATTCCGTGCTGCCTGAGGGACTTTTCAATACCTTTGAATTTCTCAAAACGTAAGAGTTTAGAAAGGAGTAGCTGGAAGTTTCTTTAGTACAGAGTGGGCTGCATCTCATATTGCCTGAGGAAGTTCATTCTTTGTCTAAAGTCGGTTCACTGCCTATTCTTAATTTTTATCAAAATGGGTCATGCCAACTGTATTTCAGGCTCTTTTGCTAGCTAGCTGCCTTACTTGTAAGCTAGCAAAATACACTATTTTCTACGTGAAGATGGCTGTTCTTCAGCTTTGCCAAAGTGGTATTAAAAATGGGTGAGAAGAGTAACAAATCATGAGCCAACACATCACTTGTCTGATTTCTTCTTTTCTGTCACTTTTCCAGAGACAGTATGGTGTAGGGGAATTGGGGAGTCCTGCACACCTGCATTTCACACACCTGTCATTTATTTTACTAGTAGTGAGACACTGGATAAGTTAACCATACCTCAGTACTATGAGCCCATTCCTCATCTCTAAAAACCTCACCTCCTACTGAGGATTAAAGTTGTTCATATACAGTGCATGGCTAGATAAATATAAATTATATAAATTACTTATGCGTATATGTGAGTGTTTATTGAATTGTTTTCAGGTTAGTTGTTCTCTCTGTCTTTCCAAACTGTAAACTCTCAGTCTTATTCATTCTTGTAACCTCAAGGAATAGTATTGACATAGGAGATTAGGGCGTGGCAAAACTGGCTGGGGAAGCATGACCTGTTAATTACAAGATCCCAGGACATATGCACAGAACAGTTCCCAGAGGCCTGCATGTGGACTTCTCTCAAGAAATCGAGCAGGTTTTCAATAGGTTAGCCTAGACCTGAAGTCAGCCTGAGGTGTGTGATCCCAGCACTGCCTCTCAGGACCCATACGTAGAAGTTTGCAGGTTTCCTCAAGATTTGGAAAGCATAAAAGCACACAGACTCCAAGAAGAGCTGCCTCTTGTAGCTTTCCCCATGATATCCTGTCCTGCTTCCTCCAGAGTGTGCTTTTATCTTGCCTTTTCCTCATTTACTTGACCCAAGCTTGCTCTGCAAAGCCAGTTTCTCCCTCACTCTTCACTTTTACTTTTTCAAATAAGCTTTGCCACTACTTTTTGCTGGTTTTGTTCAATTCTTTGTTGGCAATAAGAAGAACCTGGAATCTAACTCCAGGCGAGGCATGCAACCCAGAAACCTGTAACGTTTAGTATTTGGCAAGCCACTTTTAGAAAGAGCTACATGATAACAGTATGGCATTCAATAGGTCCAAAGTTTAAATTCAGGGTGACTGAAGACAAAACAATCATTTCTGTTTTCAAGGAAACTATATATGTATATGCAGGTAGATGCTTAAAAAGGCATTTGATCCTAATTTTTTCTTGTCTTTATTTCACTGTAGGATAGACTACTTGTTTTAAATCCAAAAACTAGCAAGGGTTTCGAGGATGCTACATTTGCTTCTACTATCCCATTGCACTTGAGCTTCCTTGGCTCTAAGTTCTGACTTAATGCAGGAGACCAAAAGCATGAAATTACCCCACTGTCAGGGCCAGGAAAAAGGTGAGGTGAGAGAAGCACTTGCCTAGGCCACAAAATTTAAGAGGCATGCCCCCAAAAAAGCCTTAGAAATTGGGGCTCAGGATGTGGCTCAGTGATAGAGTATGTGCCTAGCATTTGTAAGGGCCTGAGTTCAATTCCAGCACCATAAAACAACAAGAGGAAACAAAAAGCCCTGTAATCAAGAGAAATAATTTAATGCAATAATTGTAGAAGTCAAAAAATGAGCCAAAAATTCCACGATGAACAAAATACCAAAATCTGAAATAAAAACAAGATCACAGAGCACTATCTATCCAAGCCATATTGATACCTGGACTAAAAGGAAAAAAAATGTGCACCCCTGAATACATGTTTTTATTCATTTTTCTGTGGGTAATCCCCCATCCAAAGGCCAAAAGGGTTGCTCAGGTGGAAGTCTTGCTTCTCTATGTGCCTGGACTCAGTGAGCCTTCAGCTCCTCTTCCACAGGCTGCCAGCCTCTGCCACTTTCCACTTTGGGAATGCCCCAACTGCCTAGGAAGGTGGCCTCAATCAAGGATTAATTTTCTCCCCACCATGCTAGAAGACAGGTGGAAGAGGTTGAGGGGAAAACTCAAGTGGGTGGGACCCAGGAGAGCCCTTCCTTTCCGGGCAGTGGCTTCCTGTTGCACCACAACTCCAATAATGTCTGGACAAAAGGGTAGAAGAGAGAGCCCAGGATTTGGTTATTTGGCTCTTTTGCCAGTGGTGGTGAATTTATGGCATGCATGCCACAGCAGGTTGTTTGTCTCATTGAACGCTCTGCAAAGTTCACCATCACTGTGAGCCTAGGCTAGGGGTAGGCTCAGGGCTCCAGAGCCTGTGGACCTGGGTGGAAAAAAACCTCTCCTTTCAAGTTTGCTAATTGTTTAGGAAGCTGATCTCTAAAGGATACTGAAGAATGTCACTAAAATAGTATTGGCTTGTCATTGTAATTAGTATGGATGGTCAGATAGCACAAGCTTCTGAAAGAAGAGTTCATATGTGGAAGCTAGCTAGCTAGCTATTTATTTATTTATTTATTTATTTATTTATTTATTTATTTCAGGCCTGGGGATTAAACCCAAGGCCTTCACACTGAGCTACTTCCCCAGTTCCTTTAAATGTTTTAAAATTTTGAGATAGGAGCTCACTAAGTCGCTAAATCTCCCAGGCTGGGATCAAAGGTGCAGTCCTCCTGCCTCAGCCTCTCAGAGTGCTGGGGTTACATGTGTGTGCCACCATGCCTGACTTGGAATTATTTTTTAAATTTCTCCTTTTCCCAGAAGTAGAATAGACATTGCTTGAGGAATATATGTGCAAAAGCCTTTTAGGACCTCAGCTTCACCTTCCCTATGATGAATAGCGGACAACACCTTACTTCTTGGTATTAATGATACAGAAAAGTTTTAGATACCTTAATAGATTGAATATTAAGGTAGTTGTAGAAGCAAAATAAGTAATGTGTTCTTTTAAGATTTGCTTTTCCTGTAACTCCTTGTTTAAGGCGAGGATTATCTGACTCTAACCAGTAACTTCATTAACCTAACAAAGTTACTATGCCAGGGTGAATTTACAATGTATATGACCTATCTTGTGTCTGTGACTTGTAAATAGGAACTGGAATTGTATTTACATATCAAAGACCACTAGGGATGAGATAATGGCTAAAAAGGATATAAAAAGGGAAATGCTGAACAAAGGGGGAAGATATTGACCAGACTGGTTTCTGGCATTCCACTTAAGAGAAGAAATATTCTGTGTCTCTGTGTATTTCTTTCCGAGATTTCCATAACATTATATCTTCATTGTCTTTGAGGTTCCCCCAGGCCATTCAGGTAATTCCCTCAGACATTAATTCATATTTTATTGTATGGAAGCACCTGCCTGTCAGGTCTGTGAGGGACAGAGATGAACACAGTCCTGGGCTGCTCTTTAGGAGAGAGGCATACTCCCAGCAGTTCAGCTGGGGAAAAACAACTCCAAATGACACTGGAGATTTATTTTTCTCCCTCATTTTCCTGGTTTAGGAACTGGCAGCCTCACCAGATTTGACTTAGCCTGGAGGCAGGACAGACAGGCACCAGATGCCGAACCATAGAGACTTCTAACGATGGCCTAGATATACCCTTCTTCCCATGTGAAACATCACAGTTTAGGGTCCTGCTGTCCTGAGCTCTTTCTGGGATGTGTCCTATCTTACTTTGCCCAGACATGGGGCACCTCTTGGGGGGACCAAAATGCT